AGGAAGGGCTGGGGCCGGCCCGCGTTCTCTGCCGAGCCGCGGGCTCCTGCCTCCGTGCCCTTCCTCCGCACAGCGCTGTTGGCCGCGTGCTCTCTGAGGCCTTTCAGCTGAAAATTCTACCCTGTCCCGTTGTCCCCCCTGGCAGCTTGTGAGCGGTGGTGCTGTTTCCTCCACTGCTGACCGGCGTCGGCAGCCCCCCCCCCACTTCCTCTGGGGGCACGGCTGCGTGCTGTGGTTTTAAATGCACGTCAAGGTGTGAGGGAAACTGCCGAAGAGCTCGCTGTGAAGCGGCGTGCTGGAGTGGGCGCGTCGAAACCACATCAGACTCGGCCTCTGCCGCCACTTGAAGCGCGTCTGAAGGCCTGACCGCCGAGGGAGAGGGCGGCGTGGAGCCCGACTCTGGCTGTCCCGCTCTGCCCTGCACCGCCTCCCCTCGCCTCTGTCCAGGGTGCGCTCAGCTGGCCACACGTGTGCGGCCGCGCCCAGGGCTGCCAGCCGTGGGCGCCCATCCTGCCCGCGAGCCTGCCTCTCCAGAGGACCCTTGGGGGTGAAAATCGGGGAGTCGTTTGTGGGGCGCGGGTTTGTGTGAGTGAGTGATGCCTGGAGCGGGCCTGGACGTGGCAGGGTGTTTATAGGAGGGCTGTATGGGGTGGCAGAGGAGGGCCCCTGAGGCAGGCATTCCGAATCTTCAGGGCCTCTTTGGCCCCCCTTTGAGAATGTAATAATGGACGCTTCTCTCAAAATGTGCCCCACACACAGTGGTGCGGGTGTGGCAGCCTCCCCCACGGACCTGGCGCCCCACCTTGAGCTGCTGATCGTGGGGGGGTGTTACACTCTGTGGTCCCCTGAGCTGTGAAGAAGGCATTCTTTGTCCCCTTCCCACAGAGGAGCGAGAGGGCGAGCCCAGGCTAGTTGCTGTCACAGATGCTGCTGGTCCCTGGAGACGCCCTCCCCCACGCCCACCCCCCACAGTTCTGTGGGCCCCAGTTCGTGGCCAGATTGGATGAGGCAGATACAGTTTTTCTCTGGGCTAGTGCCGGGGCATGGGCGGGTCCTTTTCTTGGGAACCCAGACCTTGTCTTGTCCTCAGTGTTACTGATCGTTGTCCTGTCGTGACTTGAGTAGACCTTGGAGTTTGCCCCACGCTGAGGTGGGCCGAGGAGGCTGCTTGCAGCCAGGGGCCTGAGGGGTCAGCCTCCCCGGCTGCGGCAGGGACTCAGGGTCTCCGGGCCTGTGGCCACTGTGCGGGGGAGCCGCTGTGCTTTCTGGCCAGATGCCCCACACCTCATCCTGGAGAACCACCCCCAGGGTGCGTGGTATTGGGGGAAGGCGGTGGGGGGTGTGCCTGTCCCATCCACTCCGCCTGCCGCCAGCCTTGGGATCCAGAGGAGAGGAAGGAAACCTTTACTGGTGCCTCTCCAGTGCCGCTCTGACTTGGTACCTCAGCTGCACCTGGCTTCAGGGACGGGGCAGTGGGTCTTCGAGGGCCTCTGTCCTCAGAGTCTGCCTGGTGCCGTGATCTCTTGGAGTGTTCGTTTTTGGGGTTTCTTCCCCAAGGACTCATCAGGCACCGACCGTGCTGTGGGGCCTTGGAACACAGAGGAGGCGCCTGTCCCAGGAGGCAACAAGTTGCATCCTGGCTTTGTGCCCAGGACCGGTTGGGGGTGGCTTGTCCGGTGATCAGGACCTGCTGCAGCATCGTGGCGTGTCTGCAGTGCGTCTGTCTGGGTGCGAGCACAGGGCCTGCCGTCCCTCTGCTGCGGGTGACTGTCACCCACCCCTGGCCAGGCAGCCCCGGAGCCTGCCCACACCGGCTGTCTCAGCGGTAACGCTCGTGGGGGCACTGTTCACTTTTTCAAGCTCTACAGAGAGGTGTCTCAGACCTCGTGCCTTCCATTCTTCCTGAGGCTGATACCCCCATCCTTGCTGGCGGGAGGGGGCCAGCATTGGGATCTCGCCTCGCGGCCCCCCTTCTTGTCCAGCTTGTCCGCGCTCACATGCAGACTGGCCAACGTGCCTGTCCTCTTGTTGATGTGGCGGGCTTGGCACAGAGGAAGGGGCGCTCAGAGGCGGGTGGCACACTGACCGCGAGAGGGCTCTTTGTGAGGGGCTCGGCAGGGCCCCATGGGTTCTCGTCTGGATTTCACTGTGGGAGAACTTGTCCCTTTTCCAGGTACTAACTATAATTATCTTTCTTATTTTCTGAGCTTGAACTTGAATGCTTAGAGGGGCTCTGGAAGAGTAGAGTGCAAGGAAGTGTTGACGTGCCGGGTTCTTGGGTGAGACAGAACGTTATATTCCATCGCTGGACTTGTGTGCATGCTCTGTAAATTCACAGTGACTCCATGGTCACCAATTTCTGCTGTTCTTTCTAAAATTCAGTGAAAAGTCTATGTGATGGCTCCTCTGGCAGCCTTAAACCAGACGTTGATATACTTTGGTTGAAAAATAAAGCTGTTTACTAAATCGCTGCTAAGTACCTCGTGGGAAATGAGGAGAAATAGGTTGTTGTGTGTGTGAGCCTAGACTTGGGGCCCACGAGGTGCAGCTTGATCAAAGCATGATATGTATAGGACAGATGGCTAGAAGCAAATGGCTTTTACCCAAAATTGCCAGCTCTGGCTGGCAAGTAGACTTTTGGTTCTCGAAGGCTCTGCAGGGAGACAGTTGAGGACAGGAGTAGGCCCCCTCGTTGGGAGGCGCCACGCCGCCTGTTGGAGCTCCTGCATCTCCCCGTCAGTGCTGACTGGTTAGGAGAGGGTGGGGCTGCTCTGGGTTAGGGGCCTGAGCCCTGGCCTCGGAGCCTGATCTGGCGCCAAGGGGCCCAGGCCCGCCTTCTGCTCCTCTTGGGAGTTGTGCTCGGTGTCACAGGCTGAGGTAGAATTTTGTCCTATTTCTGAAATACACAGTCGCTTGTGAGGACGGGTGTTCTTTACCTGCCCCCTGTGACCTTTCGCTTGACTTGGTTCTTGCCCGGGAGGATCACAGCCACGTGCAGGTGGTTTCCTTCCTACTGAGGTGGGCCTGGACAGGGTGGAGCGACCCCTGGTGACATCTGGTCCAGTGCTCTCTCCACAGGCCCGGGCCCTTCCATCAGTTAAAAGGTCTGCGGCCCGAGAGACTGACCAGGCAAGTGGTGCCCAGCCGACGAGGCCAGCAAACTACAGCCTGGCAAGATGATCACATGAATATTATTGTCAGTTTTTGCAAAGTCTTAGAAATACTCTTCTCAACAAGGTGAGCTTGGAGTCCACAGGCACCTGTGTGTTCTCGCCTCTGTGCCTTGCTGTTACTGCCTTGGCGTTTGTGTGTGTGGAGGGACGGGGCCTCTCCGCTGCCACTAGCAGCGTCCGCCTGGAGCACATATTTGGCTCGTGATGGGTGACTGAAGGCGTGAGGGTGCGCGTGCGTGATGCGGGACGGCTGAGCTCCACGGCCGGCCGGCCAGGCCCTGGCGCCCCTTCCGAGTGGGCGGCGAGGATGGAGCTGTGAGCAAAGCACGTCTCCTGGTGCACCGGGCGCCGCTGGACCTAAGTAGAGAAAATTGAAATTGAAATTAGGAATTGGAAATCGTAACTGTGCTTTTCCACACGTTCTTAGGCCTCTAAGAACAGGGTTTGATCCTATGCTATAAAGCAAATTCTGAGAGACGTCTGTTAGATGGCGTTAATTTAATATACTTTCTGAAAATGCAAATTCTTCCTTCAGTTCGTCTGAGTTTCTAGTAACAACTGAAGAGCCTGGTCGAGGACCAGAAAGGCCCTTGTGTTCAAGTTACACAGAGCTGTTGCCTCCTGGTGATTGAGTAGTCTGAACTCGGAGTTGAGCCTAATTAGTGAAGAATTTGTTTTTGTTACAGCTCACTCAAGTTGAATTTGAATTTCAGTAGAATTTAAAGGTTTCCGTTTACTCCAGGGAAGCAAATAAGGGCAGAAGTGGCAGCACGAAGGTGCTTACTTGCCAAAGTGAGAAAGTCAGCCGAGGGGGTGGCAGCCCAGCCGGGTGGGGAGCTGCCACAGAGAGCCCTCTGGCTGTGCGGGGCAGTCCTGTCTGTGTGTTTATGGGGCATTTCAGCGGAACGGGTCAGTCGTGGTGCGCGTCGGTCCGCAGCCTGGGAGTTTGGAGCTGAAAGACAAGGTGCGACTCCTCGTGTGGGTGACGCTCACCTTACAGGCGAGAAAGGTGTCCTGGGAGGCACCTGGGTCCAAAGCTGTGGTTTTCAGGGAGGAAAGGAACAGTCCCCGCCACATGGCGATGGGCGGGAGTCACCAGCACCCACCAGGGCTGGCCCCAAGGGCCTCTCCCCCTCCGGGTGTGCTGAAGCAAGCCCCGCGCGTCATGTCACGGTCCGTGCGTCTGCTGTGCGTTCTGAACTAACAGGAACTTAGTTTGAATCGGAGGGTGGGACCCCCAAAGAAACTAACCAGTAGAGCATCATCAAGCTGGAGGGGCCCCCTTTGCGGTATCTTCTCAAGTGTTGCTGCGGCTGTCGGGGGGGGGGGGGGGGGGCGGGGCGGGGCTGTCCAGAGCAGCCTCTTCATTTTGAGCCTTGCCTGTTCACAGTTCTCACTCGGAACCCTGAGAATGAGCCTCGTTTAATCACTGAAATGGGGCCTCCCTGGTGGCGCAGCAGTTGAGCACTGGGCTGCGAAGCTGCCGGCAGACTCTGCAGGGCCGGTTCGATCCCCGGCCGCCGGCGAGGGTCCTTCATGGCGTGCAGACCTCTCCTGCCGCCCGCTGCCCCCCTTAGCAGTGTGCTTCGGTCCTTCTGCCTGTTCTGCTCCCTGCTCTGGCTCTGGTGAATTCTCTCACCTCCCGCGTTTCTGACTGTACCCAGTATTTGTATAAATAAATAAATCTTTTAAAAAAAATAATCATTGAAATGAGTTTTTCACAGGAAATAACAACTTCTCGTCACTGGGTCAAAGCGAGCCTTTCCGAGGCCCACCCTCTTCCACGTGATCACACCTGACAGCTGACGTCGCCTCTCTTTCTTTCAGATGGGAATGGCTGGCAACACCAGTCCATTTGGACAACCCTTTAGTCAAACTGGAGGGCAGCAAATGGGGGCCCCTGGTGTGAACACCCAGTTGTCCAGCAAACAGAACCTGGTCAACAGTTTGCCTCCCTTCCCTGCAGACATCAAGAATGCTTCAGTCACCAACGTGCCAAACATGGTGAGTCGCTCTGGCCTCAGGCCTGTGCTCCTCCAGGGGGTGCCCTGCTATATGGATTTGTGGGGCCCACAGTGAAGACCTGCCCCTTGCAGTATGCACGGGGGGTGAGGGAACAGCCTCTTCCTCCTGAGCCATGGTCTGGTGGAGCTGGCCTGGGGCAGAGGAGTCTGCCCACCTGCCCTCCCTGGGTGGGGCTCTGCGAATCACTTCCTGGGGGGGGGGGGAGGCGGAGCCAGGGAAGCAAATGAGGGCAAAAGTGGCAGCTCGAATGTGTTTACTTGCCAGAGTGAGAAAGTCAGCCTGTTCTCAAGTTAGTGTGGGTTTTGACCGCTCTGCTTGGGCTGAGGACCGGTGGGGAGGGAACGGCAGGGCCTGGTGCATCGCCACCCAGGTGGGGATGCTGAGCCACGAGCGACTGGGAGGGGGTGTCCCCGGGAGGGTGGGGACTGGCCTCGAGCAGTGAGGGGCGTCTCCAAGAGACCTTAGAGTCACCCTCTGCTGTTGTGGGCCGCAGGGCTCTCGCAGAGAGCGTTTGTGTTCTAAGAGCAAAACCAGGAGCAAACACCACACCGGCCTGCATCGGCAGACGTGTTACCTTTGTTTGTCACGTCCTGGCTTCATAAAACTTTTGAGTTTGAAAAATTCCTAAATTAACATTTTCACCATATTCTATGGGATGATTCTAAGACACTTTTCTCCCCACACCGTACCGTGCTGGAAGCAGGGTGTGTTTAGAAGCACCACGTGCTGTTTCACTTGTTCATAAATTGCATTAACACGCGCGCCAGCTTACAGGGTTGTCAGAATTTAAAGCTCATTCAGGTTTCTCTCCGGCTTGGAGGAGGGGCAGGAGCATCCGTGAGGAAGCGGGCGAGGAGGTTGCGGGCTCCTCCAGGAAGAGGCCACCTGACCGCTGGTGACACTGTCCTCGCTGACGCTTTGGAGAAGTCCCAGCGCGGAGGGAGGAGCATCTGCGGGAAAAGGGGGGCGCACGTCCGGCGCGGCTGGGCCGCCAGCTGGGTTGGGTGCTCTTTAAAGAGCGTCCTGTAGAAGCAGGACACGTGTGGGCTTACCTGACCCGAGAAACTTGGTGACCAAAGGGGGTGCCCCTCAGTCTCCGATGAGGCTCCCTGGGGCTCCTCTCCTGTAGGGGTCACTTCTGGGGTGACGATCCTTGGTGTGTTTTATATTTTGAGAAAAATCAAGAACTACATTAGGAGACTTGCCCGTTTCTGAGGTTGGGGTACAGACCTGTCCTCGGGGTGCTCCTTGTCAGCATTGCTCTTGAGCGGTGTTGGGGAGTTCTGAACAGCTCCCCCATTTTGAAGAGTGGGGGCTCTGGGGGGCTGCCAGGCGGCTGCTGGTGCAGGTTTCTGAAGGCAAGGAAGCCAGCGGAGGGACTGCGCACGCCGGGCTGCCCTCTTTTCTGTGTCCTCCACAGGCACAGCCGCGGAGCCCGACCTCCTACGGCAGCCATGGTGATGGCGCCCGTCCCGCCCGGAATCTGCCCGGGAGGAGGAATCTGTTTTGTGGCCACTGATATTCATGAAACTTCGTTGTATTTTCTGTCTCAGTTTTCCAGGATACACTGCTATCCCCCCTGAGGCAGAGCAGGCGTGGGTGGGCTCTGCGCCCTGATGCAGGCCTGGCGCATCAGCCGGTATCTGTGGCCGAAACACAAGGCGGGGCTAGAAAGGGCAGGTGGGACTTATATGGCCACAGACTTCGGGCCGAGAGTTATTCTCCAAAGGTCCCACAAACACACCTCAGAGAGTGAGGCACATCCTGGGGGCGTCCCCTCCTCCTGTTTGCCCTGACCGCAGGGTCTACTGTCCCAGGGTCCACTTTCTGACCATGTGGGACCAAGACGGGAGCCACGGGGTGGCCTGAGCGCAGTGTCTCTGTGTCTTCGTTGGCAGGCTCATCTCACGGGGTTCGGGGGTTCTCGTCCCCGTGCAGGCACAAAGGGTGCTGCCACACTTCCCGGGGCAGTGAGTAGGCGCCTCAGCTCTTAACCCAAGCCTGCTATCGTTGTGATGGAATCAGAAAGCCTGGGCGTTGGGGGCACTGGGGCTTAGCGGTGACGCGAGTGTGGGCTGCATCTCGCGCTCTGCCGCCAGCTGAGCTGCAATCTCTGAGGCGTGTTTGTGGGACCTTTGGAGAATAACTCCCGGTCCAAAGTCTGTGGCCCTATGACTCCCACCTGCCCTTTCTATCCCCGCCTTGTGTTTCGGCCATAGATACCGTCTAGGAGACGTCGACTACATTGCCAATACCAGGAAATGGTAAATTGAGAGAAATGAACCAGGTCCTTTGCTGTCAGGCTCAAGTGCTCAGTCAGCACCATTTCGCCTTCGTCCACGTGTGGGTCTCTGTCCACCACAATGTCTTTCCTAGAGCCTGGTCAGTATAGGTGGTTCTTCCGTGGAACCTTCCAGGTGGAAGCATAAACGTTCTGCGGAGCAGAGCAGAGACCAGAGGAAGGTTCTCTGGGCTCAGGCCCGCTGTGTCCCAGTGCGGGACGCCCGCGGCCCACCTCTTAGCAGCACACTGGGTAGTCCCAGGTGATTCTGAGAGACGCTGGGAAGGAATATCCCTTTAGATTGTCAGGTGATTTTTGTGAACTGGTCGTTGGGTGCGTAGGGCCTGTGACCTGTGAAGACCCTCACCCAGCAGAGGCCTGCGGTCCGGTCGGTCTGTCCCTTGATCTTCGCACAGGCCCAGCATCTGCCGCCTCTTTCGGCTGCTCTGTCCTGGAGGTCCGCACGCACTGCTCCCTGGCAGACTGGCCCCCCATTTCAGAGGAGACTCGGGGCAGGGGGTGGCGGCCCCGTCCCCTCGGCAGCCTGTGCCTTGGTCCTCTGGCTCTCCCGTCGCTCTGTCCTTCTTGCCTTAGTTCTCCACAGAAACCACATCCTCTGATCTGAAGGGCTACCCGGGGATCTTTCTGCTCCTGCTTGCTCACTTGCAGTTACTTTCGAATTGAATTTTAATCTTAAATTATAAGGTGATCTTTTCTTTAAAAATTGGTAAACAAAAAATGTGACTTCTTTTATCTGAATAGCTGTGTTCTCTTTCCTACTGTTGATCTTCATCCTCTCGAAGGCGATTGTCGCTTCTTTCCGGGTTGGCAGCCGTGTGCGCTTCAGGAGCGTTTTCTTTCTTTTATGACTCAGAGCTCTGCGTACCCCGCTGTTTAGGGTCCTTTTGGGGAAAGCAGAACCAGCAACTCCTGCAGAGCAGTCGCTTCTCCCGCCTGCCGTTGGCCTTGGTGTCGCCTCTGACTCTGAGCGGCGGCCGGGGAGGAGTCACGTTTCCAGGCCCTGGGAACAGGGCTGTCAGCGGAGCGTGGCTGGGCCAGCGGCCGGCTGCTCTCTGGGCGCGGGCCTGGTCCGTCTGAAGGGCGCCTCGGGAAGCCTGCTGGTGCGGACTCGGGGCAGAAGTCATGTGGCAGGGAGACGTTTTCATCCTTGTTCGTCTCAGTCTCTGCTGCTTACATCCGCAGGGGAGTCCTGTGCAGACCAGTCTTCTGCACTTCGGGGAAGGAGCTTACTACTCCAGGAAGAATGCCAGGGTGACCGTCACGGTGTGCACATATGCTCGTGTATCCGGTTCTGTCCTTAGGGCAGATTCAGGACATACAGAAAAATGGGGCGGGGACTGATTGCTCAAAACGTAGGTAGCAGTAGTAGTCATGATAAAAATACATGCTAGAGTCTTTGAAAAATGAAGGAATAGCAGAGCACATATAAAAGGTTTGCTTTTGAGGGACAGGATGGAGACGGCTGCTGTCAAGCAAATGGCGCGTGGTCAGACCCGGCGGGGACCAGAGTGGGCGGTGGGTCCCCCGAGCCCCTGAGCCCCGGTGCTTTGTGCTCACCTGCCATGCTGTGGCCCGAAGGCGACCGGCAGCTGGGAAGTCATGCGATGGCCGAGCTTCTGTGCGTGCCTGGCGGTGCGCGGGCACCGGTGGGAGGACCAGGCGTGCGCCACACCCCCAGGGCCAGGGTTACTGCCCTGTCTTTCTTGAATGTCTCATTTTGATTTTCATGTCCTTAATTATGGTAAAAATAAAACTATTTGTATATAGAGGCATACATTTCTCTGTGGAGTTGCTTAGTGCCTGTCCTCCGGCTTTGCCATCAGGTTCTCTTAGAACATTCTCTGTCCAGGGGCCTAGCCCCATGTGGAGGAGGAACTACAGGGGTCACCCCCTTCCAGGCTCTGAGTCACACCTTGGGCTCAGCTCCTCCCCCGGGTCCGGCGACCACCCCTGAACCTGAGGCGGCTCCTGCCCGGGCGCCAGTGCCCATTGGGCTGCTTCCGCGGGCCCTGGCTGCAGAGCTGGCGCGGGGCTCGTGCGCGGGGAGGCCTGGCTGCAGGCGCGTCTCCTTGCCCCGTGACCGTCTGGTGGCTCGGGGCGCGCGCCGGCCTGGTGTTTCTGGTTGTCTGGCCCGGCTGGCTGACGGGCACTGCCACCACTTTGAAGCAGATGTTTTATTTGTAAAAGCACATCTGTGTTCGTTGTGGGAAATCTGGGAAAAGTATAAAACTGAAAATAAAGACCATTTCCTATGGCAGTTTAGTGCCTCGGGTACCACCCAGGAGTTGTGAGTCAGTCTCTGGAGGAAGGAGCGCTGCGTCTGGAGGGTTAACGGGCTGTTGCGTGGGGCCGCCTCTCTGTGTTTCATTGCCAGGGCCTTCACCCTGTGTCACAGCAGACTCACCTTTTCTACTCTCTAGAACCCTCCGAATTTTAAAAATGTGTTTCATTCTTAGCCATTTTCTCCCCCTCCCCATGAAATGTCTTTTGATTTGTAGGCACTTATTTTAATACCTTCAAGTTATCAAAAGTAGAGTTTTAAAAAAAAATGGCATTTAACTCTTGACCAGAGGTGTCCGCCAGCCAAGTTTCACAAGGTCTATTTGCTGTTTGTTTTGATTCCCTAAACAAACGATGAACAGAAAGACACCACCATCCACGCGACCCCCGCCAGCCTCGCTCTCACCTTCCTCCTCCGCCTCTCTGGTGGCCTCTTCTGCGGCTGAAGTCCGCTGATCTCTCACTGTTCTGCTTTCCCAGCTCACTTACATCCCCCAGACAGGTGAGATCATCTGATGTTCCTCTTTCTCTCCTTGACTTCCTTCATTTAATGGGCTCCTCTTGAGATCCTTCCATTTTGCTACAAATGGGCAAAATCCCCCCTTTTTTATTGCTGACGATGGTTGCACTTACAGGTGCCTTATCCCTACCCCGTTGTCTGCCTAGGCACGCCAGGCGTGGTGTTGAGCACGGTCCCCGAGCCACTGAGGGCAGCCCAGGGACGTGTCAGATTTTGTAACTCACAACAGTCTGTTTATCATTTAATTGTAAGGTTAGGAGTTCACCTGACTTTTGTGATGGAGTTTTTGTATTTGAAGAACCAGCAGGAGGACAGCTGGCATGGTCTGCTCAAGGCAGCCTCCTGAGAAAATAGCATTGGGGGAGGAGGCTAGATGAAGAACCTTAAAAACAACCCCCAGAAGTGAGCCGTGGTGCTCAGCAGGCTCCGATCTGCGCAGACCAACTCTGAGAGACATTCACTCCATGAGAGAGATTTATATATGGGCTGGGCATTAGCTGATGTTAAAGGATAATTGGTCATCTTGTTAAGCATGATAATGGTATATCCCTCCCCACCCCCAATCAATGTTTGTTGGAAATGTTTGTAAATGCAGAAGGAAAGAGACCTGAAGAGGGAACCTTACCATTCTCCTGTTAATTTGGGAAGAACTTTCTAGTTCATAGGAATAAGCTAATCAAGGAGACTCCACATCGATACTGAATGCTGCCAGGGGCACAATCAAAGACTGTTTATTGAAGCTTTTTTTTTTCAATAGCAGTATAAAAAGAGGCGGTGGGGCACAATTGACGCCCAGCAATGGGAGATTGATTAAATGAATTAGAGCCATAGATTCGTTATAAATCATGTTGTCCTGCTGTGTGAGACAGCTTTACATTCAGAACAGACCTTGGAGCAAATTCAAAGCCAAATACATATGATAGAAGAGACACACACATGCTAGAGGAGACACTCCATGTGTGACAGGAGACTGGATTGATTATGGTCATACAAACATATGTACATAGGAAAAAGCTGGGAGATTAATCTGTCAGTACTCGAATAGCAAACTCCTGGATGCAGGGATTTCGGGTGTACATTATTTCCGTGGTAAGTGTGTTGCTCTCCAAATTTCCTAGCATGGACATGTTTCATTGTCAGAAAAAAGAGCTCTAAGCTGTTTCCTCGTAGAAGCTCCACTGCTTCTCTGACCCTGCTGCCCCGCCTCTCACCTGGACTTGGCTTTGGCCTGGACCATCTTCAGGTCTCCAGGAGTCAGCTCCTGAGCACGACCACATGGGTTTTCTACTTGTTGATTTGCTAAGTTCTGACAAAGATAGAAGCAAAACAGAGGCCCTGTGACTTTGTAAAAGCGAGCTTCGATTCCCTGGGAAATATTTTTATACCTTTTCCTCCTAGTCGAACTTTGCAATTTTGACTCTTAGTTGTAAGACCAGGGCCAGGCTGTGCCTGAGCGGCCGGGCGAGCGGTAGGCCTGAGCGCTGAGCAGGTGGGACATCCTGCACTGAGAGTCTTGGGGTGTAGACCAGCACCCGGCATTTCTCTCACTTGGACGCTTGTTTATCTGAAGAGTGTTATGGATTGTGAGGGATAAAAAGATTGTGTTACCTTTTCCATTTTCTCTGCCTTTAAAGGGATGGTCAGTCTGGACTGCTATTTTAAGAAGAGGAAAGCGACTGAATTCTGCTTCTATATCTTTAGCAGGTCATCAAATACTTCTTGGGAAAAAATATTGTCAGATGTCTGAGTGGAAGTTTTAATGGCGGGCAAAGCGTTTCATAAGCATGTTAACAATCACAGTAGGTGGTCGTGTAAGGGTAAGTGTCGCCTTCTTTCAGAAGAGGTGGTGAGCACCGTGACTGTCATCTCTGGATGACGAGGTCCAGAGGTCGCGCACTGTGTCGCGCTGGGTCTTCACAGCGGCTACAGTTCATCGGGCCTTGGCGGTCTTAGTAATTACATTGAACCACACGAAATTGCCAATTTGGGGTCTACGAAAACAATTTTGTGTGGCTCAACACCTTTTGTGTGTTCACACCTCTTATTACAGTTGGATATTTTGTTGAATTAGTTGGATTTTGGTTACCTCATTTAAGAGCAGTGTTGTTTTCTTCCTCTGAGATAATCATTTACAAGCGAACTTTGCTCATCCTGACTTCTGTGTTGGCTGATTTCTGTGCTTTTGGATCTTCTTGGAAGTTGTTCATGAATAAAGAGAACCACACCCGCCCTCTTTCTTTGGCCAGTGTTAGCCGTCAGCTTTAGCAGTATTTCAAAAAACTAATGAACGAACATGAATTGCAACTCTGAAAGCTTAGTAAAATATTTTTCTTAATTTGTTTTTAGTCTCAGATGCAAACACCGGTGGGAATTGTACCCACACAAGCAATTGCAACGGGCCCCACTGCAGATCCTGAGAAACGCAAACTGATACAGCAGCAGCTGGTCCTACTGCTTCACGCCCATAAGTGTCAGCGCCGAGAGCAAGCCAATGGAGAGGTCCGGGCCTGCTCGCTCCCGCACTGTCGAACCATGAAGAATGTTTTGAATCACATGACACACTGTCAGGCGGGGAAAGCCTGTCAAGGTAAGTGCCGTTTTCTGAAGTAGTAGTGGTACGAGCTTAGGGAGAAGTTTGTCCTCCCTATTCTTGGGCAGTTTTCTTGCCAACAAGTTCCTTATAACCTCTGTCCCGTGCCGGCCAGGCCGATGCCTCTGGAACGCTTCCCTGGAGGAGCAAGGCAGCATATCTGAGCATGCTCTGGGAGCTCCTGCGGGTGCGGCTGTGCCTGCCTCTCTTCTCCCCGCCTCCTCCTCTGGGCACAGAGGATGCTTGTCGCCTCTTGAAGACTCTTCGTCATCTGTGTCTGGGTCGCAGTTTCTTTGGGGCAGGGTCGCACATGCTCGCCCGCCCCCCCCCACCCCCCTCACCCCCCGCCCAATCAGCCTCGGGTGTCTGTCTTGTGGGGCTTCCCTGTGCTCGCCCCGGCGCACGGCCGGCTCCTCCAACCTCTCGTCTTGACGCAGAGCACGATGCCGGGAAAGTATCCCGGGGATGGTCAGGGACGGGGGTCGTGCGCACCGTGTCATCCCTGCCCCTCGAGGAGGTGGCACATCAGGCACGTCACGTGCCCCCTTCCCTCTTGGATGGCGGGAACCTGCGTGCCGCTGAAGCAAGTGCCTCCTGTAACAGCTTCACTTCCCTGTCATCTTTATCCTCTTTTCTTCTCCTCTTTCTTGCGCTCCTGGAACTTGGGGAGACTCTCTCCCTCTCGGCCCTTGCTCATGGCTCGTGAGCCCCCACAGCAACCCTGCTCCTGATAGAGAAGCAGAGGACACTCAGCCAGAGCTTTAGAAAGAACTGGAAGGCTCGCTGTGGCGTGGAGAGGGGCCGGCCGTGCCCAGGCACACTCTTGAGTGCAGGGAGGTCCCCTCCTGTCAGCGTGCCGGGCTTCTCGCTTGTCTCCACGCGTCTTCGCCTGTAGGACCGATGGTCTCGTCCTTCCACATGACGTAAAATCTCATTTCAAATAGTGACATTGTAGAATTATTATTTGTTCTACATTTTATCCAGTTATTCAGCTTTTCAGGTGGAATAGCTTTTGTTTTGTGGGCTGAACCTTAGTCACCATCATTCATAACATTGCTTCCACGGGAAGTTGTGTTTGGAATTCTCAATAGTCCACTTACAAACTTTTTGGAAAACAGCCTGTTTGTAAGTTGAGGACCACCTGCACTGTGTTATGGTTACACTTGTTACCATTTTCTTATGGAACCTGGCATTATAATTTAGGTATAATTGAAAGTGTGACGATTTGGATAGAAAAATAACATCTCGTTGTTTTTCTGGTCATAGTTGCCCATTGTGCATCTTCACGACAAATCATCTCTCATTGGAAGAACTGCACACGACATGACTGTCCTGTTTGCCTCCCTTTGAAAAATGCCAGTGACAAGCGAAACCAACAAAGTAAGTGAGCCTTGGGGGCAGAGAAGCCTGGAGGAGAACATAAGCCGTGTCTAAGAGTCTGCCGAGGAGTAGGCAGGGAGCAGGGCAGCGTGTCTCCCGCTGTCCAGTGGCAGAGACTCAGGCGAGGGACGTGGCCAAGGACAGGGACAGTTTCGCGAGCGGAGGGCATCTCTGTGTGAAGGCAGACACCGTCGCAGGGGCGCCCCCCACCCCTATACGCACTCGGGTCACACAGCGGCATGAACCAGACACGGGGTACTGGGAGCAGGAGCCCGCCAGGCAGGTCTTCGTTGTTCTTGGCAGATACACAGTATCTGAGGATTTGAGTGTCACCTCGCTGCACTGTGGCAACTCGAAGGGGCGGGGGGCAGTGGGGACACTTCTTTTGGAGCTGGCACCCCTTGCCCGACAGTAAGTTTTGAGGACTCTGTTCTAGAAGAGTGGATCGGCTCAGTGGCAGGTCGAGTCCGTATGAATCCCATGTGCAGACATCTGGGAGGTTCTCATCCTCCTCGGAGACTCAGCTCCCGGCTGCTTGTGTGACTGGCAGTCGGGACGATGCAGTTGGAGAGTCTGCCTGGGCCGGGCCGCACCATCATCCCCTCCGTGGGGCGTCTTGCGTGTCATCAGGTAGCCCCGGGCGCACAGCCGGGGCCTGCGGGGCTCCTGCCGTCGGTAGGCATCAGAGCAGCAGAGGACTGAACGTCTCTTCCCAATTTAAGCCCTTTCCTATAGTTTCAGGGGTGAGACTGTAGTCTTTGGCTGCTCCCCTCGGTCGGACAGATAGGAGGTGCCCTCCAGCCTCGTGTCGCTATCTGGCAGGAGCTGCTCCCTGTGGCCTCCGGCACCCCTCCGTCTTGCTCGTCTTCATCTTGTCTGTGCCATCTTGCTGCCCCCACCCCCAACCCATTTGTGGCTCCCTGGTCATTACTCTCCTTCTTGGTCCTCTTCCGCAAGACCCCACAGCCGCCTGGAGTGCTGCCGCTCCTCTGGGTGGCTCCAGGCGGTACACAGGGGAGGGTGGGAAGCAGGTTGTTCCTAAGAGCGCCCTGGGGCCGTGCTCACCTCTTCCTCTGCTGCTCCCCGCCCCAGAGCCTGGTCGTGTATCGGAGCCCACGACCCGAAGGGTGGAGCTGAGGACCCTGGCCTGCTGTCCCCCGCCATGCCGGGGTCACGCTCTGGTTCCGCTAAAGGCAGTTCCCTAAATCAGTTAAATTATTCTTTGATTAACCAAAACAAATAGAGTCTCCCAGGACGTGTCTTGTGTAAAGTGAAGTTCTCTGAATCTGGGCCTTCTAGAACCTGATATTTGGGACACCATTCTGGCTGAATAGTCTGGTTTTCGTCCAGGTTTGTGTAAACTTTTAAAATTTAGTGTTTTGTGGCTGCTATAATTTCTTGACTTTTAGGACACGCTTTAGTAATAGATTAAGTGCCAACTAATTCACTGTCAAGCTCATAGACGTACATGCGTTCTTTGCATGAATAATGCACTAGGCCTTTGCCTGAACTTTCAGTCGGGGGTGTAACTTTTCTGGGGTAGCTCGATTTTGTAGGTCTAGCCATGACAATTGTGAGCTTTGGTGATTTCTCTTTTTAAGAAACACTTAAGTGGCTTTTTTTTTTTTTTTTTTTTAAAGAAAAGAACATGTGGTTTCTGGGGTTTTTTGTGTTTTGTGTTTTTTGTGTGTGTGTTTGGTTTTTTGTTTTTTTTTACATCCTTGCAGCTGCCCGGCTGCTGTGGGGCGGTGCAGGGTGCCCTCTGAAGTGGTCGGCCGCAGCACCCGCCGGCAGCGCGTGAGGGCCGCGGGCGAGTCTGGGACGTGATGGCGGGGCAGTGGGGTGAGCAGCTCCATGTGGGGGTTTGGTAATTTTTCATGAAAGAGATGAAGAGGCTTAGTACATTTTCATACTTCTCAAACGGTGTCAGCTTTCAGTGTATTTTTTGACTCCACTAGTTTGGTGAGTACGTAGAGGCTTGGCACGATGAATGAACAGCTTCAGCAACCTCTCCTTTGTGAGTGCTGCTTCTCCTCTCGTCCTGCAGGCCGTGGTTGCCACGCAGGTTTCGCGGAAGAGGGGAGGTGCGGGGCCAGCCCTCTCGTAGCTTAGAGTGGGCTCCAGAGACAGACTCTGCACGAAAGCGGCACACCGTGCTGTCGCTGGAAGGAGCCGGAAGGAGGTGGTCGGTCGTGTCGGGCCTCCTCGGGGGCGCTGTGCTGGAGGGGGCTTGGTGGCACCCAGTTTGGGTAGAAGAACATACAAGAGCATCTGGAAGACACGGCAGTGCCAGCCAACACTGCTGGTGTGCGGCCCAGCGGGCTGCGAGGCCTGTGCGCAGGGGCTCAGGGCGGGAGGGACTGTCTGGGGGGGGGGGGGTCGGCCACACCCCAGCTGGCCTGCACTATGCTTGCTTCCTCCATTGATGAGAGAGAGAGAGAAATAGAACACACGTGCGCACCTGCTGCGATCACCTGTGGCACCAGACCAGTGACTGACTGCATCTTTGGTGTGTGTGGAGATTTTGTTTAGAGTTTTTGAATTGTGCGTTAGGGATCCTGTCACCGCTGATCTCAAGCTAGCAGTCCCTTGAGGGCGGTGAACGAGGGCTTTTGAAGGTACAGACCTGGTGTCAGTGTGGGCATCTGACGTGTCCAGACTCCCTGTGAACCCAAATCCCCTCACAGTGAGATGCTCACTGCACACGAACAGCTCTCAGGCCCGCCGCATGGGCATTCCCGGGTTGCTTGCTGGAAAGGCAGAAATGGGCCCCGTGCCAGGCCTCCTCTGTCAGAACCTGCCCCTGCATGCCCACCGGGCGCGTGTGCCCACTCGCAGCTGAGATCGCTGTGCTGGGTGTCTTGGAGGCCAAGTGTCACTCCTGGCCCTGCTGGGCAGGTCTGTGGCGTTCTCTGGGAAAAGCCACGTTTCCCCACTCAGACCCCACAGGGACTGTCAGAGCGGACGCTGCAGGGTCCGCTGTCTCCAGCCACTGCTCCAGCGCCTCCGCTGCCTCGGCACCCGGTGCCTGCTGGTGCTGTTCATGCCAGCATTAGGCAGCCCTCTTGTTTTAAATGCCCTCTTGCTTGTATGAAGTCCAAATCTGTGTCCTTGACACCGCACATAGAGGGCCACTCGGGCCTAGTGAGCGCTCCTTGAGCAGCCCTTGTCCCCTTGAGGGCCCTCGGGGACTCTCAGCTGCTCTCACTGACGAGCTGGGGTGTGAGCAGAGGGGCAGTGGAACCAGTGGCCGCAGCGGTAGAGCCATGGGCCGGTCGCCCCGATGGAAGTGTGGGGTCATTGGCACGTGTTCCTCGGGCATCTGCGTCCTGGCTTCCCTGGTGACGGGGTGTTGCTCCCTCCTGACTCGGGTTCTGAGGAATTCTGTTGGGGGGACCATGCATACTTGATGAGGCCTTTGTTGGGAGGGCTGGCTGGGCTTGGTGTCCCCTGCCGGGTTAGCCCAGGAAGTGGGGGGGAAGACCCCCAGAGAGCCACCACAGCACCTGAAGCAGCCCCGCCTGGCCTTCCCTGGCTGTTCAGTAGAAGCCTCAGTTCTGCCTGCCAGGAGGCGTGTCTCCTACCAGCCTGACAGAGCTTGGGAATTTATGTCCACCTTTTTTGGACTTCCACAGTGAGCCCGGTTTAGTTGAACGGAGTGCTGTTGGCCGTGCAGACTCTGCATGGAGCCCGTTTGCAGACACATGTGAACATGTGAACAGCCTCATGCGAACACGACTGGGCCCTGGAAAGAGCCGCGGGAGCCTGCCCTTTTGTTTCCTGGGCCGTGGGCTCCTGGCGGAGCTGTGGCAGACAGGGTGCAGGCAGGGGGGTGCTAGGCCTGGGAGAGAGGGAGCACGCGTCCGCCGAGGGCTGTGTGCCAGGCAGTCTGGACAGGGCTCTGTGGGACAAGCCCTGTGTCCAGAAGGAAGGGAGATATAAAAGGGGCAAAAGAACAAGAGTTGTTGGCATGTAGCGGTAAATGTCAGTATTGTGTGAAATTGCTGCAGGGAGGAGGCCTCCGACTCGGAGGCGGCTGCGAGCGAAGTGGTGTTTAGCTGCCTTCGTGTTCAGACCCGGGGCCTTGCGCTGCGGTCACGGTTGTGCTGAACCGTGCAGAGGACCTGACACGCCTGTGCCCGGAGCCCCCTTCAGGGACATTTGCGGAAGAGCAGGCGCGCGGGGTCTACTCCGAGGCAGGGCCCAGAACCGCAGTTTCACGCTGTCAGGTTGGGGATTAGGCTAATCTGTTGTCTATCCCAGGAGACCCCACTCTGCGCCTGCTGACTCGGTGCTCACACTGCCCTGTGGTGCCCGCTTGCAGCCACGCGTGTGTGCTCAGCTGTCCTGAGCGTGAGTGCCCAGTTTGCTGCCACCCAGGGAACCCGGAAAACCTCCAAGGAAGGAGAATTGGTGGGCTCATAACACCCAGTTCATGGGGCCTCCCCTGGTGGCGCAGCGGTAGAACGGTGGGCTGCAAAGCTGCCCGCAGCCTCTGCAGCGCCTGTGCGATCCCCGGCTGCCGGCGAGGGTCCCACATGACGTGCAAACCTCTCCTGCCGCCCGCTGCTCCCCTCAGCAGTGTCCTTCGGTCCTTCTGCCTGCTCTGCTCCCCGCTCTGGCTCTGGTGAATTCTCTCACCCCCCCCGTGCTTCTGACTGTGCCCAGTGCTTGTGTAAATAAATAAATAAATCTTTAAAAAAAAAAAAAAAAAGTTCATGGCTCTGTCACCTGGTGGCTCCCCTTGTCGCTGGCCATCACCCCATAGTAAGTGCCCAGCTCCCTGGACTTGAGACTGGCCTGTGCTTAAGCATCAGAGGCCTTTTGTTTGTGCAGAAGGCACCCGCGTAGGGGGCTCAGCTTGTGAGTTCTGACTTCATCATGGTGGGAGAGGAGTCCATCCCCGGCGGAAACCCTGCTGTGGGCTTTGAGTTGGGGCTTCTCCTGCTTTCAGTGGTGTCCAGAAAATGGCGAGAGGTGGCCCAGGCTGGAGGGTGCAGCAGGCTTTGTGCTGGTGATTTCCCCTAATGTGGGCTCACTGCGGGCTGGCAGGGCTGTCCTGCCGCCTGGCCGCCCAGGGTGCTTCCTGCGCTGTTGGCTCGGGGTGGTGGCAGCTTATAGCTGGTTTATCCCATGAGACCCCGTCGTAAGTCAAGGAAGGCCTGGAATTTGTTCTCCTTACCTCTGAACTGCTAAAACGGTCAAATTCCAAATGCTTACTTATCTTCGATAGGTATGTTTTCTTTTAAATAGAGAAGAGGGTGATGTTTACGTTTAAGAATAAATGTCTTTAGCACAAACACAAAGTACAGTGACCGTGTGGGCAGCTCCCTGCAAGCTCTGAATGCTGCACGCGCCCTGGGGCGCGGACGTGGCGCCCACCCCCTGCGAGGCGTTCTGGCCCCCGGGACGGCGCTTGGCGGAGGTGCGGCAGAAAGCACAGGCAGTCGGAAGGCGTCGCGAGGCGCTGCCGTGGTCTCCTCCCAGCTCTGGGAGGCCACGCCGGTCCCCTGTGCCTTCCATTCCGCGCAGCCGCTGCTCCCCGGGCGCAGCAGAGGGCGCCGGGCCTGCTCTTCCTCACGGCGGGGCTGAGAGAACCTAAATCGTCCCTAGAGCGTCCCGCCATTGGCTTTTCTTCTCGTGGTACAGTTCTCTGAGGACATTTGGCTCGTGGGTTTTCGGAGTACGAGGCGCCCATGTTTAACGTTGGGATGTGTTCACGTTTAGAGAATGATGCTCTCACGGGTGTGCAGGATTTCTTTCAGCTCCGTGCGTATCACCCAGGACCTGCCTTGGGAATTGCTTTCACTCATAATAAGGGCGTGCTCGGCGTGTGTGGTTGTGTCTAACGAGCACTCATGAGCTGAGGTCTGAGTATCTTTATCAGGAAAGTGAAGCGTGTGGAGTGTGTGATTACCGAGATTTTTTTTACACGTTAGTGTAGTTAAGTGACTGATAAGCGTTCAAGTTGCTTATGTCATAGTGGTATCGACTGTTGCGTTATTACGCATCCTGGTCTGCGCTGGAAAGAAAGGCTTTGGGTGGTCGCCAGCGTCTCCAAGATCATTTTAAACATCCATTCTACCATCTGCTGTTTTATCATGTGGCCAAAGTTGGGGAACATCAGAAAGCAAGGGAGTCTCGGGGATCAACTGTAGGGCACAGACTTCTGCCACGTGGCAAATGCCCATCAGGTCAAGCTCTTGGAGTGCTTTGGCCAGCAGGAGAGCGCTTGGAGGAGGTCCTGTGGATGGACAGACGGACTGAACTCCAAATGACCCAGGAGATGCGAGTTTGCGGTCATTTCTCATCTAGGAAGCCACTGGGAGTGGGGCTCTCTTGTGGCCACAGATTTCCTCTAGGCTCCTGGACCAGCCAGGTAGCTGGGCAGCTGGGGCGGCCACTGTGCCAGCCTCCTGCATCTGACAGGAAACTGAGGGAGAATGGAGAGGCGGAGTCAGTGGTGAGATGAGGTGGCCCTGGATAGCTGAAAATCTGCGCAGCCTCACACGGCCGCAGACATTGGTAGTTGGAAGTGGATCATCAGGCAGTCAGGGCAGCGTTTCTTGGCCGCCTTCCACAGTGGGAGAGCCGACTGGTGCCTCCGGTGGAGAGTCCTCGAGAAGGGAAGTGGGTGCTGGGGTCGTCTGTGTGTGTGTGGCGGGGCGGGGGGTGCTCAAGAGTTGACTCGTGAGTAACGCGACCCACTCTGAACCTCCTGCCTGTGCCAGGAGCCTGAAGGCCCTGGGAGGCGGTGGTAGGAAGGATGCCTCCAGTTCACCTCAGGGGTGGCTGGTGACCCCCAAAGAGCAAAACCCTTCCCTTGTCGTGTGCTTGCCACCCCCATGGAACTGACTTCTGACTGTGGGTCCATGCAGAGTTTAAGTCCTTTCTGTTGTGTGCTCTGTTGCCTTCTAAGACAGAAGCTTGAGTGTCTCCAGCTTCTCCATACGGCTGCACAGGACAGGCTGGAGTCAGGTCCTCCGGTGCAGCACCTGGCCAGCCCCAGGGTCTCGCCCGCCCGCCTCTCCCCCTGCCGCGCGCCCCTGTCGGTGCAATTCCACCTGCTTCTTGCTGGGTTGTGAGTCACTCGTGGATTTCTTGCTGTTACTTACCGTTTTTTTTTTCTTTTTTTTTTTTTTTTTTTTTGTCTGTCTGTTGTTGTAGCTATCCTGGGGTCTCCTGCTAGTGGAATTCAGAACACAATTGGTTCTGTAGGCACAGGCCAACAGAACGCCACTTCTTTAAGTAACCCAAACCCCATAGACCCCAGCTCCATGCAGCGGGCCTACGCTGCCCTCGGACTCCCCTACCTGAACCAGCCCCAGACGCAGCTGCAGCCTCAGGTTCCCGGCCAGCAACCAGCACAGCCTCAAACTCACCAGCAGATGAGGACTCTCAACCCCTTGGGTAAGTGAAGGAACTCTGGAGAACTCCATGGCCCCAGATGCAGCCATGGGAATGACGTGTCTTCCTGAAACCCAAGGCTGCTCTCAGCCGTTGTTTTTACTCTACATTCAAGTTGCTGTGTGTGCACGTGTTACGGCAGACGTGTCATGGTACCTTTTAAGTGGTTGAAAAGGCAAAAGTGTCTGATGCAGGGGAAATGTTCCAGGCCTGGGGAAGAGTGACATTTGAGATGAATCAATGTCTGTTGCTCCTTGTGCTGCTTCCGGAAAGCTGTCTCCAGGGAGTTTACATGGCTAAAGCTGAAGCTCCGAGCCCAGCTTGTGCCTCTGGTCTTGACCCTCACCAGGCTGTTTACCTGACGAGCACTTGTGGGTGGTCTGCCAGTCTCCCACTGCTTCCCGCTGTCACCTCAGTCCATTATTTGCCAGTGTTGGCGCATCTGTCCATGTGGAGCCACGATTCCCTTGCCGTGCACACACACTGTTTTCTCAAAATTTTTCTTTAAATTGTGCCTCCCTGGTGGCGCAGGGGTTAAAGACAGCGCTATCAAGCTGTCCATAGCCACTGCAGCACGAGCTCCGTCCCCGGCCAGGGAGCTGACCCACAGGGCAAGGCAGACCTCTCCTGTCTCCCCGCTGCTCCCCTCAGCAGTGTGTCTCAGTACATCTGCCTGTTCTGCTCCCCAATCTGTCTCTGGTGAATCCTCTCACCCCCACACCTCTGGCGTGCACCCCGTTTCTTGAGTGCATAAATAAATATTTAAAAAAAATTTTTTTCTTTGACCCAGTCATTTGAAACTTAGGCTTAAGCAAGCAGCTGTGTCCATCAAGCCAAGAAAAGGATGTTGTGCTAGTTACGTCCCTTTTCTAATAGGATAAGCGTTTTAGCTTTTCAAATGACCTGTTGAAACTCACTTCATTTGTTGCTTTCTTGGGTAACAGCTGCCATAATGAACACCTAAGGTCTACCGGCCAGGAGCCGGGGTTGCAGTCCTAAGACCTGACCTCTGACCTGACCCCATGCCTGTTGATGGTGTGACTTGGGATGAGACTGTTAACCTCTCTGAGTCTCAGCTTTTTCTTACTTTAAAATGAATACCGTAGGCACCTTGATCTTTTCTGCACTTAAATTCTATGATTTTATTTTCTAATACGGAAAAACATAAAGCAACACAATGGCTCATGGCATGATGGTGATGAAACCAGCGTTAAAAATCTAAAACTGTAGGGAGGTTACTTCTGATTGTACCCACAGTCATGGAGTGTACTTAGATACCCAGTAGCTGTATTAAAAGTGCCTCCTTTGGGTTAGAGGGACAGCGGCCAGGCGTCTGCAGCTGGGCTGTACAAGTGGCCATTGCCGGAGCCAGGACTCAGGAGCGCCTGTCACCGTCTCGCGGTCGCTCCTCCGGGCCCCTGCGCTGGCAGCTTACCTGCTGCCAAAACTTTGAAGCATATCTTCTCATTCAGGAGTTGATTGACTTCTCTTCTTTCTGTCTTTAAAGGAAATAACCCAATGAACATTCCAGCAGGAGGAATAACAACCGATCAGCAGCCACCAAACTTGATTTCAGAATCAGCTCTTCCAACTTCCCTCGGGGCTACAAAGTAAGCGCATTTCTCAGCCTGCTCCTTTCTGCATGCCAGCTGCACGGGCCGCGGCTGGTAACCACAAAACCCTGTGGTGCCTAACGTGGCAGACGAGAATAGTCTGAGCGGGGTGGTGGGGAAAATGTTTTTACCTGTAAACGTGGGGCAGACCTAGATCACACAGGTGCATTCGCACTCGAGTCCCTCAGTGGACAGAGGGCGCGTCCTTGTCTCTCCTGCAGCCCACTGATGAGCGATGGCTCCAGCTCCGGAAACATCGGCGCCCTCAGCACTATACCCACAGCGGCACCTCCTTCCAGCACTGGCGTCCGCAAGGGCTGGCACGAACACGTCACTCAGGACCTGCGGAGCCACCTCGTGCACAAACTGTACGTGCAGCGCCGCCACCCATGCGGGACGCAGGCACTTGTGCTGGCGGTGCTGTCACGGGTCTGCCTGACTCACTCCTGAGGGGTCCTGTAGGTGGTAGTGCCGTAGCAGCTGAAGGGAGACCCGTGTGGTTTAGGGGGTGGTAGCCACTGCTGCATGGCCCATGGCTCAGGGGCCAGGGCCCCCGCGCGTTTTCTTACAACTCAAGATTACAGTTGGGGAGATCCTGAGAATCGGAGAGGCTGGGCCCAGGCGCAGAGGGTCTGCCATGCCCCTGTACAGCCGCTCAGCTCACAGCCACTGACATTGAGCTGACGGTAAATTTAATCGATTCCACTGGATGTTTCTTTTTCCCCTTCATTATTCCCACTCATCTTTTGGTATAGTTTAAAAGTTAGGAATTTGAAAAACGTCATGCTTGAATTGACTTGGCATGTATTTATTAACACCAAAATATTCTGGCGAGACCAGCAGGTCAGTGTTGTCTCCGGAGAGCGGCTTCACTGTGTGCACGGTAGGCAGGCAGAGTCGGGGGTTTCTCACGACACTGAGTTACCCCTTAGAAGGCAATTGGTTTCTTCTCTTTCTCTGTCACGTGTGAAATGACAAGGTGTGCATTGAAAGTCAGTTAATGGAGTTGTTTTCCTTCCAGCGTGCAAGCCATCTTCCCCACGCCTGACCCCGCAGCCCTGAAGGATCGCCGCATGGAGAACCTGGTAGCCTACGCCAAGAAGGTGGAGGGGGACATGTACGAGTCTGCCAACAGCAGGGTAGGTCGCCGCGAGCCTGCAGCCCCCACACACACACCTGCAGAGGACGCAGCTGCGTCCATCCAGCTTATCTGCAGAGGGGGCTCTGCCCGTCGGGTTGGCAGTGTCCCCTAGAGGGAGACCCTCAGAGCAGACCTGAGAGCTGACCCAGCTCGCATGGAGAATGCTGCTGCAGGCAGGCGGGCGGCACCATGACTCAGTCATGGGCATGCCTTAGTGGACGCGGTTCCTGCCGCCCCTGCTGGGTCAGCGCCAGCGTCAGTGAACAGGGAGAGGTTCCGATATGCAGTGAAATGTCACGTGCTGCGTGGCGCCAACTCAGAAACTCCGTGATTCCACTAGGCGTTCCACAAGATTCTGGGCCTGTGATGTATCGGACGTGTTGAGCACTTCACCATGTCAGTGTTCTCCATGAGGAAAGCTTATTAGTTTGTTAGAACATGTAAACTTTCTTTTTGTATAGTTTTCACAATTTCATATGGATTTTGTCTTTTCCAGGATGAGTACTATCACTTACTCGCAGAGAAAATCTACAAGATACAAAAAGAACTAGAAGAAAAGCGGAGGTCGCGTCTACACAAGCAGGGCATCTTGGGCAGCCAGCCGGCCCTACCAGCGCCTGGTGCCCAGCCCCCTGGGGTGCCACAGCCACAGCCCGTGAGACCTCCAAGTAAAGGCCTCCTTGTCTTCTGCCAGCCTTCAGGCTAAGATTCCCACTGCTGGGTCAGGGGTCACTTTAAATAACCACATTTTTTTCTGCCATTTTAGATGGACCCATGCCCCTGCCGGTGAACCGCATGCAGGTGTCTCAAGGTATTTACTGCCATGACTCCCGTCTGAGCTTGATGCTCAGCACCCCTCCCCACGTGTGTGCACAGCGTCTCCCCTTCCTGCGCTGGCAGGCAGGCTGCAGCTCCGAGGCGGAGTGGGTGTCTGTTGCGTGCAGAAGCTTGAGGATGAGAGGAGCACTCCCCAGGATCAGAAGTTGGACCTGGCCCTCTTGTTTCCTGTCCTGAGGGGACAGGACCCTTAGGCAGAGCCTCCCTGGGTGCCCTGGGCGGGGCAGGTGTTTGGGAAGGCCTGTGGGACAGGTGAGCTCCAAAGTTCAGGCCGGGGTGAGCAGGCGGTGGCGCCGGGGAGGGCCAGTGCGGGGCTCCCCGCCAGGCCAGGCTTCCCGCACTGGTCTGGACCATGGTGGAGGGTTGTCCCCGGTGGAGTCTGTGCGGCTGCCTGGTGGAAGCAGACATTTTAGCTTGGCAGTAAACGGTGTTTCGGGACTTTTCCAGTTCCTCTCAGACTGAAGCTTGAACATGAGGACATTTCTACAGGTCGTGAAACAATGTGATGGCTTATTCGGAAGATTCTGGAATAGGGCTTGCTGCTGTGTGGGGGCCGGTTCGGGAGGGAGAGGAGGCCGTGAGTGCCGTTGCCATCCTCCTGTGCGCTGGAGGCGACGTGGGGGTGGCTGCCTTGGAGGACGCTCCGGGGGCTTGTCCGGGTGGCTTGGCCGAGGAAGAAGTCAGAGTCCGAGAAATTGAGGGGCGTGGCTGAGTTCTGTTTGGGGTGACGTGGAAGCTTCTGTGGCTTTGAAATCTGACACGACAGCTGTTGAGCAGGAGGCGAAGAGGTGCGCCTCTCTGACGACACATCTGGCTTTGTTTAATTCTTGAATTCTTCAGGACAGGGAAAGTTTTATTTGCAGGTTTCCCGGAAAGTTCTCCTGGGCCTGTTGCACTCGCATGTTGACGGTAGTGGTTCTCGGTGGTCATGGAAGGTAGTGCTGGGGGAGGCAGATGGTCTTTGAGACCCTCTTAGGTCCCACTCGCGTGAGGGCGATGCCCTCAAAGACCATCAGAGCCCATGACAGTCCTCAGCCCTGCGTCACCCGGCATCTGAGGAACTCGGTTTGCATGTGGGCAGTCGTGAGGGAGGCGGCACTGGCCTGAGATGCTCGGCAGCTGGCAAGTCTCTCCCCTGTGTGACGCTCCGGCGGCCAGTGGGCACCCAGGGAAGGTGTGGGCCTTCCAGCCTGTAGGGAGGCGGCTGAGGTGGGACACTGCTGCCCGTGGGCTCTTTTTAAACCCTTCACAGACTTGGAAAATGAAGACCCTGGTCGGCGTCTTACCCCAGATCTGAGCAGCAAAGCTCAGCCCACAGGCTCCCTGCAGGGCACAGGCTCTGGAGGCCTCGGGAGCTGGCACAGACAGGCGCCCTGGGCTGCGGGGCAGGAGGGCATGTGGCGGGACAGGCATGAGCCCTCCCACTGCCCCTTGGCCCGTCATCGCGCTCTCCTGAGCTGCCCCGCTCAGCCCACCTGTGCCGTGTGGGTGGCCGCCGGGCTCCGCAACCGCGTCTCTCGCGCTGCCGGCCCTGCCCCACCACCCTCTTCCAGGTGGCAGAGGCCTGTCACCCGTCTGTCCCGATCAGCGGGTGGTTTCTTCTCACCTGTCGCGTGTCTTCCATCTTGCATTGCTTCGCGTGTCCTTGGTGAGCCGGGATACCGTTTTCCTGCGGGTCCTCCTGACGCCCCATTGTGGGTTCCTTCACAGGGATGAATTCATTTAACCCGATGTCCTTGGGGAGCGTGCAGCTGCCACAGGCTCCTATGGGACCGCGCGCGGCGTCCCCCATGAACCACTCTGTCCAGATGAACAGCATGGGCTCCGTTCCAGGGGTAAGTGCTTCGACTCGCCTCAGCCGGGCGCGAGCGAGAGGGGTTCCCCAAGTGGTGGGATTCTCCGCGGCCTGGGATCCTGCAGCGCCGGCTCCTCTGCGTTTGGCTTCTGCCGGATTTCTGTTTTCTCTCGCGTCATCACTGCCCAGAGGGAATCTTTTGACCGTTCTTTCTCCTGGCATGGTAATGTCCCAGGACCTCGTGACCGGGCGAGAGATGGGCGTCCTGCGGAGGGGGGAGGCAGCCTCCACTGTGGGCCTGAGCGGGCTTGTCCCTCCTGTGGGCTTCTAGAGCTGACTCTGGAGTCTAGAGACTGCTTCCTCAGCGCCGTCAAGAACTCCTGCAGGACACATTGGGAACTTTGCATGATAGTGTGCTGGTGATTTCTGTTCCGATGGCGGTTTGAACCGCCTCATTAGAGACTTGCCTGAGAAGGCGCTTCGAGTGCCCGGGAGCCGGGGGCTCTGGGAGCGGCGGCTCTCACCCCTCGAGGGAGGGTCGACTTGCCCGAGTGCCCGAGTTCTGGGATGGTTGGGCCCCGTGTCTCCTAGGGCGTCTTGACACCCCGACCCTTGTCTTCTGAACTCTCGATGACACTTGCCTTCTAGATGGCCATCTCTCCGCCCCGCATGCCCCAGCCTCCCAACATGATGGGCGCGCACACGGGCAGCATGCTGGCCCCGGCACCCGCGCAGAGCCAGTTCCTGCCGCAGGGCCAGTTCCCCTCCCCCGGCGGGGCCATGAGCGTGAACAGCGTGGGCCTGGGGCAGCCGACGACCCAGACCAGCGTGGCGCAGGTACAGTTGGCGCTTGGCGTGGCCGCCTGTGTCGGCGCCGCCCCTCTGCTCCCGAGGAGCTCGCACCTCATTTCCATGTGTCGGCGTCCTCGAATTTTTCCCCTTTTGTCCTGTCGTGTTTACCTGGCTTGGACGTGCTCTTACCCTGACGTGAACTTCATGCGAAAGTGGATTGCAGATTTCTGCCTTGTGTACTTTGGGGTTTTGATTGCCAGGTTTTATGTGTCACTTTCTCAGTATTAACGTCTGCGTGTTCAACTCCGAATCTCACATGCCACCCTGAGAGACTGTGGGTCTTTCAGAGGCCTGAGGGAAGGTCAGCTTGTGCTGCTGCCCATCTGTCTGCCCAGGCAGAGTCAGGCTGGCTGAATCATCCAAGGGGCTCTCTTCTCGCTGCCTTGTTCTTAATTACCTATCAAGCGCCGAGAAGTCTCCTCGGGTTGAGGGCCGCCCCCTTTGTAGACTGCAGGATGTGAGATGCTGCTGCCACCCGTGTGCGTGTCTGTAGCGGCCAGCTCTTCCCCCAAAGACATACTCTGTGTTTAATCTTTCAGAATGAAGTGGTGTGAACAGAAGCCATTGGCCACATTATTTTTTATTCATTAACTACTTAGTCTTAATATTGGCATTTTATTGCTTTGGAACAGAGATCTGCAGACTTGTCCTGCAAACATTGTGGACTCTGGCCCATCAAGTCTGTTCTAACTTGGGACTCTGTTGAGGTGCACAAGCAGCCGTGGACATGTCACCTGTGCATGACAGAGGGGCGTGGCTGTGCCCACAGGATAGGTGCAGGCAGCTGGCTGGGTCCGGCCCTGAGCTGTAGTTAACCACCCTGCTCTGATCCATGATTTTTAAAAGACCCACAAGGAGACTCAAGGGTGCGCCTGCAAGGAACAACGCTGTGCTGGCCCACGCGGTCCTCCGGCAGCTTGTGCTTTGTAAACGAGGGAACCTTCCAGAGCGCTGAGCTGTGGGCGTGTGTCCCGGAGCGCGAGGCCGGTGATCTTACATGTCTCTTCCAAGCCTGAGGCTTGACAGTTCTATAAATCAGAGAATGAGAACATTCGCAGTGATGACTTACTGGAAAGTGCATCTTACCCTGAGTGCCCAATTCCATGATTTTTCACACATGGGACATTTCTCTGAGCCAGCAGGTCTCATGGAGAAGTCTTGACTCGATTTTCGTACCTTCAGGTCTGCAAATCTGCCGCCACATTTTCACACATGGGAATAACGTTGCCGAACTCTCTTCTCTTCTGTCAGGGGCAGGTGCCTGGTGCTGCTCTTCCCAACCCTCTGAACATGCTGGGGCCCCCGGCCAGCCAGCTGCCTTGCCCTCCCGTGACACAGTCGCCGCTGCACCCGACGCCGCCTCCTGCCTCCACGGCCGCCGGCATGCCGTCTCTGCAGCACCCCGCCGCGCCGGGGATGACGCCCCCCCAGCCCGCCGCTCCCACCCAGCCGTCGACTCCCGTGTCGTCTTCCGGGCAGACTCCCACCCCGACTCCCGGCTCAGTGCCCAGTGCCAGCCAAACCCAGAGCACCCCGACAGTCCAGGCAGCAGCTCAGGCCCAGGTGACCCCGCAGCCTCAGACCCCAGTGCCGCCCCCCTCCGTCGCCACCCCTCAGTCATCCCAGCAGCAGCCGACGCCTGTGCACGCCCAGCCTCCTGGCACGCCGGTGAGCCTCTGTCTCTTACGCGAGCGCTTTCTGTAGACAGTGTCTATCGTGAAGTCACTGCCCATGAGCTGCGCCCTGAGGGCCGCCCTGGCATTGCCTCGCCTCCGCCAAGACGGTAGCTGGCGGATGCAGCTTAGGGGGACGGGCAGTCGTGAAGAAGTCACACGGGGTCTTCTGTGCGCTGTTCAGGCTCCCTGCAGACAGGCTGCATGCTCCCCGTTGCTGTCTTAGGTTGGTGCCGTCTGCTTCCAGTCCTTACTCCCCTAAGGTCGTGACAGTTTGGTAGACGCGTCACATGACTCGCCACGTGGACTTTGATCTTGCTGCCTCCCAGCTGTGTTTTTGGAGGCCATTTCAATGTGACGTGGCAGGCCCGGGGTGTGCCTCCTGTGGCTCAGTCTTCTGGGGACCTGCTGGTGGTGCCCAACTCCGAGGCTGGGCCGCCCCAGCTGCCCCAGGCGCTCCAGGCTGCCCGGCCACCTCCACCCCCCTTTTCCATGATCTCTGAGATCTTACTTTATTTACTTGTCATCTGACTTAGAAGCCCCCGTGCCCTGAAACACATTCACCTTAATACTGAGAACATCTGTCCATAAAGCGTCGCAGTTAGTCCTCACAGCGGCAGCCTAACAGCTCTGCTCGTGTCTTTCCACAAGGGGCGCACCCTCCTCATTCTTGGTTCGCGTTTCTCAGCTCTCAGTAAGATCCCTTGCGACTTGTGTTCTCTCTCCGTTACTTAAAACACCATTGGCTAAGACCTTCAAAACTGAGAATCTTCCAGTGGTTCCTTCTCTTGCTGTTCACTGACTCCACCACCCCCGACATCGCCCATGTTCCTGCAGTTAACCGGCTGATCACCCACGTTCGTCCACACGGGCGCTCTGTTCCGCCCTGCAGACACGCTCACCCATCGATCATTCAGCTTTTTATCATACACATTCATGACCTGACATTTCAAATCGGAGGTTTTCGACTTAGGTAGAAAACTTCCAGAAAATAACTGTAGGACAAAGCGAGGAGAGCTCTGCTCTTCACATCTGCGCTCTGCCTGGAAGCTGGGTGCATCTCGCCTGCCAGTGGCTGCGTGTCAGACTCCTCGCTTGGCCTCCTATCTCCAGTTCTCGCCAGTCGTGCGTGCCTGTTAGGCTGGGCTTGGGAGATGTGACCACAGAGCTGCACCCAGGAGGGCGCAGCTCTGAAAGGTCACGCGTGTTGTCTGTTTGCAGACATCCATGATTTTGGCTTCCCCACAGCTTTCCCAGGCAGCAGCCAGCATTGATAACAGGGTCCCCACACCATCTTCCGTGGCCAGCGCCGAAACCAACTCCCAGCAGCCGGGACCCGACGCGCCAATGCCGGAGATGAAGGCCGAGGTCAAGACCGAGGATGCCGAACCCGACGCCAGCGAGCCCAAGGGGGAGCCCGGGTCCACGGTAGGCACCGTTCTGGGGAGTGGAGCGATGTGCCGCCTGCAGGGGCGCGCCACCGGGCCGTCCTCAGGGGAGAAGCTGGGATGCCCCGCTGTACCCTCACTGTCTGCTTGAGTCAGGGTTCCAGCAGAGAACAGACTGAAGAGAGGCGGGCTGTTTCTTCTGAGAGGTTGGGCCGGGGCTTTTTTCAGTCTGCCTGGCGGGAAGAGCACGGGCTCCCGTCCAAAAGGGTGTTTGTGCTGTTCGCCACCGGCTGAGGCTATGTGGCGACGGCACCGGGGGTCCTGGCTCACCGAGGGGCCCGTGGCAGAGGCTGGGAGCTGCTGGCCACGGGCAGTCAGCCTATAAAAAATGTGTTTTTATCGCCCGTGCAGACGCGGTAGTTTTTAAGATGGGGAATTGCCAATACAAGTCTAGATTCCTGGCTTTTCTGGCAAGTTGAGAAACCCCGTCAGCATTTGGCGGGCCTTCCCACGGGGGCAAGCTGGGTGGGAGCGCCCTCATGAAGCCTCACATGGGAACCGGGCTCCGCAGCTGGCCGGTCCCCGCTGCTCCTTGTCCCCCCACTCCCCTCACTGCGTCGGCCTCACCTGCCTGACAGTCTGAGCAGCTTGGTGTCTGAGTCCCGTCTAGTGCGACATACATTGGTGTAAGAACAGGTTAAATTGGGACGACGCTCGCCTCGGGTCTGTGTTCGAGGGACTCAGGTGACACCAGGTGTCACTCAGGTGCCACCAAGCGTCCCCGTCCCGCTGCGGGAGGGGCGAGGAGGGAGCCGCGCGGCTCCCGCCAGGAAGGACCTGCGCGGTCCCGTGCCGCCCCCGAAGGCCCCGGTCCGCCTGCGGTGGCGTGAAGGTCTGTGCTGTTCACACCTCCTTCTCCGTGGTTTTGCTTTTCTGAAGATGATGGAAGAGGACTTGCAAGGATCTGCTCCAGCCAAAGAAGAAACGGACCCCGCAGAGCCGAAGCCAGAAGCGATGCAGGTGGACGAGAAGAAGCCGGAGGTCAAGGCGGAAGCCAAGGAGGAGGAGGAGAGCAGCTCCGGCGGCGCGGCCTCCCAGTCCACGTCTCCCTCCCAGCCCCGGAAGAAAAGTAAGTTGTCTCCCCTTGGACGTGCCGCGTCGCGCTGCTTCTCTGTCAGGTGCTGACGCCGCCCCGAAGCAGACGGTCCCTCCCCCCTTCATCTGCCTCTCCCGCCGTTCCCCGAGTGGTGCCTCGTCAGAAATGACGGCAGCGAGCTAGACCCCAGCCTGAGAACCTGTGGAGTCTGTGGTGGGAAGGAGAAGCCAGATCCGGCCCGGGACGGGGGCGTCCTCCGAAGCGCCTCCGACCGCGGGGCGGGGGGCAGGAGCACCTGCTGCCTCCGGAGCAGGCGACGAGCTGGGCGGGGTGCTCGGGCGCTGTCCCCGGCCTGCACCCGTTCCTCTGATCGGAGCAGGACGCTGAGTGCCAGGGTGGGGGCGAGCCCCAGTGACCCGGTGCGCAGGACGGGGGTGAGTGTTGAGGTATGCGGGGTGAGCTTCATTGACCCTCCCGAGGTTTCCACGGGTGTCGTTTATCTGTTGGGATTTTCTGTTAGAAATTCTTAAAATAATTCATTGAAAAGTAACAAATCCTTTACATGGAGCCCATCAAAAACACATTTTTATGAAAATGACCTTGTCCAGAGCAAAGGTAATTCGTAAAGGTAGGGACTAATTTTGCAAATGGGTGAGTGGATGCGCACACCGGGCGTCTCCTGTCCGCCTCAGCCTCCGCGCGCCACGGGAGGGCAGGACGCGGCCTCCCGCGGACAGTAGCTGCTACAGGGAAGAGCCTTTTCAGACGATGGGTGTTCTCTTCCCGGACACCGCACCAAAACTCAGCAAGTGCAAGTGTCTTCCCGTCCAGCTGCGGTGCGAAATTAGAATCCGTGTGTCTGTCTGGCACTGAGCGACCTGGTGGTATTTCTATGTAGCACCGTCCTTTGGTCACCTGGGAGTCTGGCTCGCTGAATTGCACGGCTCTTCCAAAGGCTGGCAGACTTCACTGTACGAGGTTTTACACTCACACTGACTAACAGCGCCATCATGTCCCTTCCAGACAGTCTTAGAAATTTTGAGAAGCTGTCACGCTCGTGTGGTAGCTAGAGGTTTCCTGAAATTTTGATTTTTGTGAAAGTGCGTATTTGATCTTTGCCGCAATCAACTCTCCTTGAAGTGACTGGCGCACTTTGTTGATTTTTGAGGAAATGTCTGCCCCCTGTTCTGATCAGTCGCGCCTTAGCTCGTCCATCAGTCCTTTCTGGTTTATATGTTCTGGAACAGAAACGAAACAACATGCCCCTTAGCTCAGCACTCCGCCCCGACTATGTCATAAAGCTGCTCTGTGCCACCGCCTGCGTGTCCACCAGCCGGCGGGAGCCAGGGCCGAGGCCTGAAGACAACGGTGGTCGTCACCACTCCTCAAGGGTGTTCGTGGGTGCAGCTGGCAGGCTCCTGGCTTGGCACAGGCTGTGGGGGCAAGGCGGTGGCGGCCTCCCTCACCCTGTACTCCATGTTCCCGCGGTTGCCAGGCCCCACCTGTCACACGTCAGCGTGGGGCACGAGACGGGAACTACTAGGTGTTGCCCTGAAAAGCAGCTCCGTTAGGACATAGATGTGATTTCCAGGGTGGTGCTAGAACTTCTGCAGTGATGGAAGGTGTATCTCCGTTACAGTAGCCCCCGGTGCCATGTGGCTCTTGAGCACTTGAAATGTGACAAGCGTGATGAGAAATGGAGTTTTGTGTTTTGTGAAGGTTAATTCACTTCGATGTAAGCACCGCGTGTGAGGGGCGGCCGCCACGTTAGGCAGCACGGGGCCCGCAGGTGTCCGTGGGCCTGGCCTGAGGTATTGCCGGCCGAGCACCAGCCTGAGCGTGTGGGTGTTTGGGCCACGGGAGCCAGCGACTTGCTCGGCGCACCCCCTGGCCAGCAGCAGAAAGCTCGACCCCACACAGCTTCCCACTTTGACTCCGTTCATTTGAGTCTCATTACATCTCTGTGGTGCTTCACACAGGGTTGAAAAGGCCTTTTTCTTGGCTTCATGAGTGGGGCCCAGAGCAGGGTCTGTGTCTGGCTGTGCCCCCACCCGGCCCCGCTTGTTTTCAGAGACTAACATTTTAATTTCATGTCATTTTTCCCGTGTCATGAAATGTTATTTTCTTTTTTTCCCCTAAATATTAGAGAATGTAAAAGCCATTCTTAGTTCATAGGCTGTACGAAAACAGGCCAGAGTTAGCCCGTGGGCCGTGGTTTGCCAGCCCCTGATCTCGCGACATGAACAAGCCATCAAGTAACTTGAGGTATTGTAAAGAGTTATTCCAAGACAACCAAATGCTCCTGGGCCTCTGCGCACCGTGGGCGAAAAGGGGTTAGCATGTGTTTCACGAGGTTCCCGCAGGGGACTGTCTGTTGGGGGTGTGCTCCCCACAACCTGCCGCCCCAGGTCCACGGCAGCCAGGTGGGGGGTTCCTGGAGAGGAGGTTCAGGAGAGCAGGGCGGGCCTGCTGCTGGCGGCAGCGAGCGTGTGGGAAGAGCACCGGCGCCGCCGTCCCGTCTCTCCCTGCGCAGCGCGTGGCTCCCGCGGCAGCCTGGCGTGTGTGTGCTGCTTCGGTCTGGTTTTTCAATCGTGGTTTACCATGTAAGTGTGGTAGGAGCTTCTCAAAATAGAAAGACTGCCAAGAAGAAATCTCACGTCCCTTACAACCTGAGTCGTCAAAACTTCACGGCCACGTTTGCCCCTGGTCAGTCTCTGTGGGGGGCAGGGTGGGGGGCGGTGCCGCGACACACTCGCCGCCCACAGCCCACCTCGCTTTCGGGGTGTCCGTGCACGTCCCCGGTCATCAGGGCTCTTGGGGTCTGAGAGACTGTGATCGGCAGCCGGATCGGTGACGACAGAAAGCGCGGTAGGAAGTGGGGTGGCTCGGGGCTGAAGACCTTCCCGCGCACAACGTGGGAGGGAACGACCCAGAACTTGCGGGAAAACTGATTATTTCTGTGGCTCTGTTGTGTGTGTGTAGTTTCGAGGTTGTGCTAGAGAGCCGTGTGCCCCTGGTGGCCTGAGCGACCTCCGCCCAGGAGAGCCCTGTCATCAGCGGGGCTGGGGAAGCCCCTTCCGGGACAGGGTCCAGGACCAGAGACGCCGCCGGCGGGCAGGCTCCAGAGTCCTCTGCGCCTGGCCTGACAACGGTTAGCGCTGGAAGCCCATTAGCTGCAGGCTCAAGTTTCGTGTGTGATGTTTTGCCCTCTGACCTGGATGCTGTTCTGAAACCCTGGGGTGCTTTTCTGAAGCCCGCGCTGGAAGTTGAGCCTTGCTTGGGGGGCTCCAGAGTCAAGGAGAGCGCTTGGGAGTATCAGAGGCGCGAGCGCTCGGGATCGGGAGCAGCGATGCAGGAGGAGTGGGCGTGCCTTTTAATTGCCCTGTCTCCGGTGTTTTCTCTCCAGTCTTCAAGCCGGAGGAGCTGCGCCAGGCGCTCATGCCGACCCTGGAAGCCCTGTACCGGCAGGACCCTGAGTCCTTGCCTTTCCGGCAGCCTGTGGACCCCCAGCTCCTGGGAATCCCTGTAAGTTGGCATGGTCAGACAGAACTTCCCCGGTGTGACACCCGCGGGCTCGTCGTTTCGCGTCTTCAAAGGGGGTAAAATAACTCCAATTAGAAGATTTCTCTCCGAAGACTGAAGAAGTTTTCTGTCCACGCAGTAGTATTCCTGCAACCTAGTGACTGAAATATTCGCTTCCCCCCTTTTCTCTGAAGCTGGGGGGCAAGAAAGAGGGCTCACTCTCTCCAGGGCACACCCTGTGGCCTCACTTTATATCTGGGACGTGCTGTAAGACCTTGTCTTAAAAGAATTGGTTTAAATCATAAATCATAAACCCCATGGGCTCTCATTTTGCTGCCTCAGGTGGTCAAGCAGAGGCGGGGGCGGGGGGGCACGAGCATTGTAAGTGGTGTCACTGTCGTGCTGTGTCTTGGAATCTCATTCTGCTTACTAGCACCAAGTGGATAGCGAAAAATGTATTGGCTGGTAAATTTGTTCATTATTTTAATTTGGAGGTTAAAATTCTTGTTTTGAAATTTGTACATTTGCAAATATCTTTTTATTTGGTAGTTCTTTTAAGATGCCCTTCTTTAACTTTGCCTTTGAAGTAATTTGATCACACTTGAAGATAGTATTACTTTTTGATAGTAAAATTAGAGAAAATTCAGAGGTTATTTTCTTTTCAGTTACCATTTCATATTACATGGAAGTTCTGACCTTTGCTGTTCCTGTTTTAAGATAAAATAAGGCACTTGGATTTTGGGGCTCCAGCCACTAGACTGAACCATTTTATCTTTAAGGATTACTTTGACATTGTGAAGAATCCCATGGACCTTTCCACCATCAAGCGGAAACTGGACACAGGGCAGTACCAAGAGCCCTGGCAGTACGTGGACGACGTCTGGCTGATGTTCAACAACGCCTGGCTCTACAACCGGAAGACATCCCGCGTCTATAAGTTCTGCAGCAAGCTCGCCGAGGTCTTTGAGCAGGAAATCGATCCTGTTATGCAGTCCCTTGGGTACTGCTGTGGGCGAAAGGTAGTTTAAACTTTCTCTGGGAAATGAACTTCCCTGCGTAACCCAGCCAAAGAGGGTGGCATGATGATGTTTGATAAACTCAGCATTTAGACACACTTGTGCAAGTGGTGTCTGGTCTTTTGGAAAATAATTGCCTGGGGTGATGTAATAGATTATCCAAAGGTAGACGTGCCTATTGGGGACTGAGGTTGAGCCTTCCAGCTGCTCCCGTGTCCATCATATGTCTGTGACAAATGTCTTCCAGCCTCTACTTCTGTCACATTGTATCCAAAAATGTCTTGAAGTAGCTGTGAAAGTTTTTTAAAAAACCAACCATCCAGTGTACTAACAAATAATCTACTAGTTGAATCTAATTCTCTATAGTGAAATAGAATGTGACATGACAGGAAACGAGATGTATTTTTAGTATTTTTTCTTTGTTTTTGCAGTATGAGTTCTCCCCCCAGACCTTGTGCTGCTACGGGAAGCAGCTGTGCACGATCCCTCGCGACGCAGCCTATTACAGCTACCAGAACAGGTAAGCCCCGGAGCAGGATGTGCTTGCCTGATTGGAGGCCAGTGTGTTCCTTTGTCCTGAGGTTCTAGGAAAAGTGCCACATTTTTATACTTATTTTTTACAGTATAAAAATAAGCTAAAAACTGCTTGGTGTACTACTTGGTTCAGGTACAGTCATTTTTAAGCCTTGGTCTTTGTAAAATGAAACCTTTCGAGGAAGAGTCTGGAGTGGAGAGTAGCTCTATAGAAAGTTGTACGCCTTTTCAAGATAGCAGTAAAGCTAAGAAATTGTATAATTCGACATATAAATGCCTAGCTAATTTGGCCTGAACAGTCAGGTGAAAGATTTGAATTAGTGCAAGTTCTTTAAAAAAAAAAAAATAAAACCTTAAGATTTTTTTAAAAAGTTTAGTAATGCTACACAAAATAAGATGTGGTGCTTTTTTGGAGTTCAATTATGACTCCCCTGTTGTGAGATGGCTGCTCCGGGGTTTCCCTAGGGGCGGATATGCTTACGAAAGACTCGCTGCTCTCAGGGAATGTGGGAGAAGGCTGAAGAACAGCTCTCCTCACTCGAGCAGCGTTGGAATTATTTTCAAAGTCAAGCTTATTTCTGCCAGTTGCCCGGAGTAGCCAGAGTGAGGGTGACGCGCAGGTTGTGCGTCTTGGCTAGACTCTGTAACACCGCTCTGCTTTGTGAGCTGGCAGCTGGAGTCCCTGGGTGCTAGGATGGAACACCGTGCTGCTCTCCATCCTCCAGGTTAAGAATTAAACGTCAGTGTTAGGGCTTGAAGTCTGATTATTCTGATCTTATGCATAAAAAGATCACATGTGCTCTAGTATATTGAAGCTTGGGAGCACTCTACTAGTCCAAAGCTACATTCACAGACCAGAATAATTTTTGTCCTTGAAATTAAGTTTTTTAAATTATTTTAACTGAAAAAAAAAAAAGTCTGACCGTATTCAAGATAATAAATAATTCCCATACATCCCTATTTTTAAAAAAAGTTGCTGTTGACCTAAAGATGGCTCAAGGAAAGGTTTCTAATCCTTGCCCTGCTCATTGTTCCTGCTACTTTTGGGTCAAGAGAAATATTAGTGTGAAGGGCAGGGAGTGGACGTCCCTGGGGAGGGACCGCTGGAAATAGTGTAACATTTACAATTTAAATTCTGTCCCGGAACCAGATCCCCTTCTTGATGGGGCCTCTCCCACAGCGGCCTGTGCCCTGGACCTGCCACTCTACTGTGCTCAGCCCTGTGGCCTCCAGCACACTGTGTGGCTTAGGCTGCACCTGCTTGCTGGGACTGTGGCCTGGCACCTTCCCCAGCAGCCTCTGCCGCCAGGCTCCAGGGAGATAATCGCAAGAGTTCACCTTCGAAACCGCTTGTCGTGAAGGTCTTAGAGAACAGGTTAAAATTGACTGTACCCTGGGAAAAGCCCCTGCTACTCCAGTGCCCGACACAGTTGGGGGTCGGGGGAAGAACAGAGAGCAGGCTGCTTGCCCTGTCTCTGACTATCCAGGAACTGCTCGTTGTTGGTCCCTCTGTCCTGGATCTTTTGGGCCCTGCTCTTGCTGGCGGCACAGATGTGGGCCTTGCTCCAGTTGAGAGCAGTTGCGTGCAGGGGCAGCGGGGCACTGTGGCACCTCAGAGGGGGCTGTGACAGGATTGTTACGCAAGTTCCAAAATTTTATTTCTACGTAGAAACTCATTTTTACTGAAGTAATGTATTCTTAAGAGTAGGAGCACATATAGAGGAGTTGTTGTTATATGAAGGATGGATTTTTTTTTTTTTAAGTGTATCACGTTGCCCCTCAACTGACTCTCCCAAGGCATGCTTTCTAGAATTTTGTACGTGAAGAGATGGACACGACCTAACCCTAAGAAAGCAGCGGTCTGATTGTACAATGGGCGTTTCAACTGCTTACAGTTTCATACTCAATTTTGACTATTTATGAATACTCTGCTGCTGTTTTGAATAATTGTTTTGGCACTTTTACTTTAGTCCTAAACTGTTTGGGCACTTAGAACAATAGAAAATCCTACCAGCCACTTAAATGGGTGAAACTCCTCATCTATAAACCAGAGTATGGCTACATTTTCGTTTTGTTTCCATACATTGAAAATTTGAAAGTAACTCAGGTTGGGAAATTTTTCTATAGATTTTTCTGGTTGCTATCTATAGGTAAGATCGATGTTATTTATAGATAACCAGTTATTTGTATATGTTGATATGATACCTAAAACAATCTGCATTTGAAAATTTACTCCATATATTAAATTACCTTTAGAGAGAAGCAGTTACACTGTGTTCACGTTTGGTGCCGAGATGCACATCCTCTTCCGATTACATGGGCTGTTTCCTTTGCAACTCCATGCCCATCCAGCTGCTTCCCCACAAGACACAGTGCCCTCGAGGCTCTTCAGTTGAAAAGTGGGTTCCTCGCCATCTGTATTTCAGTGTGAATGCGGTTGAGGTGACGAGACAGGGAGGGCTCACTTTAACGTCCGTCAGACCTTGGCTTGCCCATGAATCGCCGGGGAGTTCGGTGAGGGACCAGAATGGTGGCCACTCCCCCCTGGGCTGTCATCTCTCACGAGGACGACAGAGCCAGGCCCCCTCCCCTTACACCTGGAGAGGTTGGGCTCCCCGCTGTCTCTGGCGCGGCACTGGGGCCGCGCTGCCCCCACTTTCTGATGCTGAGGTTCTCTAGAAGTTGGCAGCACACGTTGCTTAGGCTTCCACGGCCCTCCGGGTGTTCGGCCTGCTCCGGCCTGGCTGTGGCCAGGTTCCTTCTCCAGAAAAGGACGGGTGTATCATTCTTGTTCCCGGGTCTCATCAGGTTTGATGTTCGGCTTGATTAGGAGTTGGGCATTTTCCCAGGATTTAAAAATCATCCCACGTGTAATTATCATAGCAATTTCGTTTCAAAACTGTCCAGACATCATCTTTCAGCTCACCCACAGTGGCCAGTGATCAGGACACTGATTCCAAGTTTTATTTTTAGAAGGAAACCATTTGGCGCTGAGGAGATGTCTCTCTTGCATGTTACTCCAGCGGCCACTGAATTGCTCGTAGTTCCTGCACTTTGGTTCTATCTTGCCAGTGGGGTTATGCCCTCCTGCACACGGAAATTCTTTTTACTATGGGATTTCACAGCTCCATGAATAGCCAGAATATTGCTGGAGTTCATTCCAGAAAAGATATATGTGAAAACAGCAAACAAATCATCTGTTTGTCCCTGGTCAGAGTTTCTAATCTCGGCAGAATTGTTATGTGAATAGTCCTAAATAAGCTGGTCCCAGCACGAACCTTGCATGGGTCCAGGTGCTACCCACAGTGACTGTCGCGTTCCTTATCAGCAAACTGAAAAATTGGATAATTTTGAGAGGTGCACATGCTCTAAAGTGTTTTGCTTTTAATTTGCTATGTGTATTTTGTCATTGAAATGCAGCGGACAGAACGCTCCGTGTGCTTAATTAAGATTAGCTGTAGAACCGGGGCGGGGGACTGGGGGCGGCTGTGGCGGGAACGGAGACCCGCACCTGGGGCTGCCGGTGGCCATGGGTGCGTGTGCCGCCCCGCGCACGTCCCGTGCGGCGTCCTTGACGCGAACCCCTTGGCGCCTGTAGACTAGTGCTGAGCACTAACCCGTACCCGTGCTGCCGCGCTGCCCGACACCCCCTCTGCGTGTGCCCCGCTCCGCCACGTGTCCGTCCCGGTGTCTGTGCGCTCGTCTCGTGTATGCAGCGGCAGCCTGCGTTTCTGTTGGCTCCTCGCTCGTGTCCTTTCCAAACATTTAGTAGTTTTTATTGTAATTGTTCTTATTTGGTGCCCTGAGCCCAGGCTCCCTATTATCTTACAAGAAATTGGGGTGAGTGGATAATTTCTCAAATGCAGATTGTGCTTCAAAGATTAAATTTGCTTCACTTGGATTGTCACCAAGGCACAGCAGCCAGTCACGGAGTATCTCAGATTGACGAGTGACTGGTCCCCGAGCCAAAAAGTTTAAATTCGAGCTTAGAATTGGATTTTAAAAGCTTGTTCGTGGACCTACATATATTGTATTGCTTATACAATATATCAGCTTTTCCTCTGTGTATTCGTACTGATAAATGGCTGGAAAGTCTTTGGCCCTGCTGCATTCTGTTCAGTGTTTGTCTCGATGTGGATTTGGCTTCATTTGTATCGTGACCCAATTTACCAAGTGATTAACATGAGAAAAAATACAGGGAAAAGTTAAAACCAGTTCTGGGTGCTCAACGTTTTCATACCTTGAAAGATCTGGCTTCACACTGGAAATAAAATCTCTGCATTGCTGTCAAGCATAACTTTTCCATTTCAAAAAATGAAAGCTATTTCAGTGTAAGTTGCTTTTTGTCAGACTTTTTTTTTTTTTTCCAACGTAAATTTTTTTCCATCTCAAACCCTGGAGTTATATTTTTCTAAGTAATGGCAAAATTCAAACTCCTGAGTCGTAGGCTCCTTGCAGTTCTAGTGTGTTAGCGCTCCTTGGCCACGTCTGCGCCTTGGGCTGGCCACGCCCGGTCAGTGTTAGGGATGATGGCCTGTGCTGCGTGCAGTGAGACCGAACGCTAATCAATGCTTTGCCTTGGCTTTCTGCTCTGTGTTGTCTTGGTGTTTGCGTCTCACCCTTACGTCTGTGCTGTCTGTTCCCTCCCCGTTCTCTAACCCTGCCCTTCCCCGCCTCCCCTGTTCCTTTCATTGTCCTCACTGACCCATCAATCAACCAACAACGCCCCCCCTTCGTCGTGGTGATCTGCCCTGCTCTGATTGGTGGCTTCGTTGCTTGGGTGGCTGTGTGTTATGATGGACCAGTTCACCCAAGTATGGCCTTCTTGCTGACAGGTATCATTTCTGTGAGAAGTGTTTCACAGAGATCCAGGGGGAGAATGTTACCCTGGGTGACGACCCTTCACAGCCCCAGACGTAAGTACCATCCTGTCGTTTTTCTTGGGGGGTCTTGGGGGGTGACTCATAATTGTTTCCTCTCTTGTCCATGGTGAAGAGAGGCACCACCACCGTATCGATTTCTGTGTCATGTATTATTTGACGGTGACAGTTTTAGCTGGGTCTCAGGGCCCCTCCCACATTGCTTCTGCCATTCAAGGCGCTGGTGCCAGGGCCCCCGTGCAGGTTCCGGCCACCCGTGACCACAGCCCATCTCGCTCACTCGCTCTCCTAAACCAAAAACCACCTGCTGTTTCAGAGCAGCTGTCACCTCTGGTACATTTTCAGTTGCACCCGAGAAGCCAGGTAACCTGCTCACAGAACGGGCAGTGGCAAAGATTGAGTCTTGTGTATATGCCCCACTTCCAGTTGCTCTGCAACCTGCCCCTCTGCGTGCTGGAGCTGACCGGCCATGCCCAAGCGAACGCCAAGTGAGGGAGGCTCCTTCCTCACGAGAGCCGCGACTCCCCACGTGTGCGACTCTCCGTCAGCACAGACAGGCAGGGGCTGGCTTGTTCGTTCCTTCCCCGAGCTCACCTTCGCCCGAGGGGGTTAACCTTCACGTGGTGGAGCTGTGACGGCAAGCACACACTCACGGAGTAGATGTTCAGCTTGTTTGTGTGCTTGAGAGTCCTGAAAACCCGACGCCTTCCCTCCCGGCCCCGACCTGCCAGACTTCTGCCAGGCCTGTCGCCCAACCGGGTTTCCTGCTCAGCAGCGATTCCCACCTTGCGGGGAAGTCAGGTCAGCGTGACTGGCTCCCCCAAAAGAGATCCTTATTCTTTGCTCAGCTGTGTGATTGACTGGTAAATGCATGATAGGACCCAGTGAGATCACAAGCACGTCACATACAAGTGAGTGTAGCAGAAAAAAAGCCCGGCAGAACCCAGGCACTTTGCCCTTTAGGAGTTGGGAAGACATCCTGGGTGGGTGCCGACCGCGTGTCTCTGGGGGGTGTGATCAGAGGAACGGACTACACCGGTATTGGTTAAATTCAGTAGCCATTGACATTACAGATTTGATTGGAATTAATAAGTTTGAGTCACAACATGATCTAACCGTCAAACCTTGACTAGTCTTACTGAAGTCCCCCAACAAATGCTGTTTATAATTAAGGGGAAATTTTTATTTTAATGTACTTTTTTTAAAAAAAAATTATTTATACAAGAACTGGGGGACAGACCAGAGATGCAGGAGGGTGAGGGAATTCACCAGAGACAGAATGGGGAGCAGAACAAGCAGATCTATTGAAATACACTGCAGAGGGGAGCAGCAGGTGAGACAGGAGAGGTCTGCTGCGCCATGTGGGTATCTCCCTGGCCAGCAGGGATCGAACCCATGCTACAGAGGCTGCGGACAGCTCCACAGTGCTGTACTCAACCCACTGTGCCACTGGGGAGGCCCAAGGGGAAATATTTTAAGAAAGACAGAGAAAAATAAATGGCAGTGCTTTCTGTTGAGTTAAATCATCTCTCACCCACTTGAAGCTGAGCCGACCGTCCTTTGCATGTTGCTCAAAGGGCCGGTCATGGGGGCAGGCCAGAGACGCCATAGCGCTCAGCAGGCACACTTTAGTTGTTAACAGTTTTCCTTTTTTTTTTTTTTTTTTTTTTTAAACAAGGACAATTTCAAAGGATCAGTTTGAAAAGAAGAAAAATGATACCTTAGATCCTGAGCCGTGAGTATCTGACTCTTCCCTCTAACTTGGGGTTTCAGTGTCAGGTGAGGAAAGTGTCGCTGTGGCTGGCGGCAGGAGGAGATGCCGGGATGTGTGCCCGGGAGGGACTGCGCGTGCAGGCTCCCATCGGGATTCTTTGTGAACTCAAAACATCTGTGTGTCTCCAGAGCTGGCCCTCTCGTTGCCGGACATCAGCAATAAGACGAAAGGGATGCCGGGTCCCCTTAGAGCCGCTCTAGCAACTTGGTCCCTGGTGCAGTGTGGCCCCTTAGAGGCCAAAGGCAGGAACATCTGCTGGCGTGTGCCAGTGTCAACTGAAGGGCAATTTCAGAGAGAAAACCTCACAGACCACTTTCCAGGAATAAAGAACAGAGGCCTGATGTCCTTGCCGCTGCCTCTGGCGCAGGGAATTTTGACTGTCCCCATCACCAGTGAGAATGTCTCCTTCGCAGTTAGCTTCTGCGACAGCCCCTGGGGAGACTTCAGAGCTCCTTCAGTGTGGTGGCCACTCCAGCCCCCAAATCCCAGTCCTGAGGACACCTGTGTATGGAGATGCATTCTGTTACTGGGGTGAGCACCCATTTCGGGCTGCGTGGGGAGGGCTCAGGAGCTGACAAACAGGTGCTCCGTGGGCCCTGACCCCTAGCCCTAGCGAGACTGATGCCTGCAGTGGGAGCCAGACTTCCCACCAGGCCTCCGCCTGGCACCTGACTCTGCTCTGGGCACGGCTTCATCTCTGCTGCCAGAAGCTTCCAGGCTTGGGGTCGCCTTGATCCTGGAGCTCAAGCCTTGGCATGCGCTGTGCAGAGGGAAGCTGCTCCCGCTGCCCTTGGGCCAGCGACAGCTGTGTCCTCATCATCCACCCCCTTTCAGGTTTCACGTTCCTGCAGTTTCTTGGTTTCATTTGGCAAGTTACACCCCATTACCTTGGAATACTAGGAGTCAGGCAGGGGAGTGCCTGGCTGAACGAGGGGAGCCTGTCTTTGAGCTGTTCCTCTTCTGGAGGAAGACAGAGCAGGAGCAGTCAGGGTGCCCTGGTGAGGGGGGGCACCCCTAGAAGCAGGCATGCGGGGAGTAAAGGACACAGGACGTTTGGCAGAGGCCGTTACTGCAGGTTCAGTGGCCTGGTTGTAGGTGGGGAACATGGGTGGCAGCATGGGGGTGCTGGGCAGGAACCACTTACACTGCCTGCTGACTTGCATGTCTCCTGCCTGCCTGCCTGCTGAGGAGTTTCCTAGGGCAGCACTGGTGTCTGCTGGTGGAAAGAGCATCCTGGATCTGTGGGGTGAACTCACCAGTAAGGAAAGGACTGCTCCTTAGTAGGGAAGTTAGGTGAGACAGAAAACTGTGACTCGGGCCCGAGCTACAAAGTGAAATTGGAGGAGGCCCCTCCCACCTGCAGCTGACACAGAGCACACCTTTGTGCCGGACTCCCGAGCAGGCATTCTTCATGCCGCGTTTTTTTTTTTTTTTTTTTTTTAAAGATTTATTTATTTGTTTATTTATACAAGGACTGGGTACAGTGAGAAGCGCGGGAGGGTGAGAGAATTCACCAGAGTCAGAGCGGGGAGCAGAGCAGGCAGAAGGACCGAAGTACACTGCTGAGGGGAGCAGCGGGCGGCAGGAGAGGTCTGCGCGCCCTGTGGGACCCTCCTCCGGTGGCCGGGGAGCAGCCGGGGATCGAACTGGCGCTGCAGAGGCTGCGGGCAGCCTCACAACCCAGCGCTCAACCGCTGCGCCACCGGGGAGGCCCGATGCTGCGAGTTTTGTTGTCTGTTCTTTCAGTCAGTTTAGGCACGGGCAGGGACCACGAGCTGGCATTGGATTTGAAAATGTATAGTAATGCCAGAGATAATGATAGGTAAAACACGACATCTTTCTAGTCATCTTTAAGTATGCTGTAGTTGCAGAGATCAGGGAGGCAAGGAACACCGCATTTGTTCAAAGAAGGGCAGAGAGTCAGCCTTTCCTGTGGGAATACCAGGCTGGCGCGTGTTCAGGTGCAGCTGACATGCTCCGAGTCCTCGCGGGGATGAGGTGTGGGCTCCGGCTCCATGGCCCTGTAGGCTGGCCTGGCACTTCCTGGGTCTTACACTGCGCTTTCTTCTCTTCCAGTTTCGTGGATTGCAAGGAGTGCGGCCGGAAGATGCATCAGATTTGTGTTCTACACTATGACATCATTTGGCCCGCGGGGTGTGTGTCTCCTGTGATCGAGGGGGAGGGGGAGGGGGCCTGTGCAGGGTGGAGGGTGGCGGCCTCCGAGCTCTGTCCACTCTTCAGCAAGTCCCTCGCAGGCTTGACGCTCGGTGAGAAGGGCACCCACACTGCTGCGTCGCCGCTTGCTGCTCGTGGCCTGCTCGGCTCTGATCACGCCTCTTTGTTTTGCAGCTTTGTGTGTGACAACTGCTTGAAGAAAACTGGCAGAACCCGAAAAGAAAACAAGTTCAGTGCTAAGAGTAAGTTGTGGGAGGGGTCTGCTCCCTGGTCTGTATGTCAGAGACCTGCGAGAGTCTTCCAGCCTGCCTTCGTGCCTCTCATCCCAGGTTTGGGAGCTTACCTGTCCAGGGTTTTAGTCTGTGAGTTTGCTTTCTGATATTTGTTGTCTTCTCCAGTCATTTGGCTTGATTTTTATTTATTTATGCATACAAGAGCTGGGGTGCAGGCCAGAGGTGCGGGATGGGGGATATGTGAGAGGACTCACCAGAGACGGAGTGGGGAACAGAACAGGCAGACTGACTGAAATCCACTGCTGAGGGGAGCAGCAGGGAGACAGGAGAGGTCTGCCGCGCCATGTGGGTTGCTCCCAGGCCGGGGATCGAACTCGTGCTGCAGTGGCTATAGATAGCTTGATAACACTGAGACTTAACCCCCGCACCTCCAGGGAAGTGCATGTGGCTTGATCTTTATACGAAATTTTATCTCTGTGCATTTACGATCAGTTCACGATTTAGGTAAAAGCTTAGATATATAGTAAATTTGTAAATTCTAAGGGAGAATATTTGTCAGCAGATTCTTCTCATGTAGTTTAAAAGCAGGAGTCGTCGCGTACCTGCAGCCGACGTCCTGCTGTGACCAGCACACTGAGCCCTGGGCTGGTGTGGGAGCCCTTGCCCAGCAGTGACCCTCTCGGGCCAACCCTGGCCCAGCCACTGCACCCAGCACTGCCAGAAGCCTGGTCACAGTGGCAGAGAAGAGCTGGCAGCGTCCAAAGCGAGAGAGCAACTCCATAGGGTTGCCTCTCAGCGGTCGCGCGGCCTCCTGGCTGAGCGTCCCGGGGCTCCCTTTGCTGAGTGACCAGCAAGCAGCGTCTTCACAGCTCATGCGCCCACCACTCCCGGGCCTCTGGCCTGTCTCCAGCAGGCAGAGGACCAGCACCTTGCCCAGGGTCCCCAGCAGGAGCTTGGGTCATTTGAGGAGATGGGAGCAGAAAAGAGGAAATGCGGGAGATGCGGGAGGTGGAAGGCAGCAGGCAAGGAGGAGGCGCCTCTCAGGCCGCAGCGTCAGTGTCATTCAGGGTCAGACTCGTTTCCAGAGGGCGTCGTCCTGTAACTTTAAACTCACTCTGGTAATAACCTTTCAAAATACTGGGTGATGAATTCCCTGACTGGTAGTATTTCTCTTTACATCAGGGTTCCTCAGCCCAGCCAGGGTTGACATTTAGAGCCCGATACTTCTTTGCTCTGGGAGGTTTATAGGATTTTGGCAGCTTCCCTTTCTGCTAGTCTCTAAATGCTAGTAACTCAGCCCTTACCCCCTGAGTGGCAACCATCAAGTACGTCTCCAGATGTTGCCAAACATCTCCTGGTGGCTGCAGGCGTGCTGAGAACCCCTGCTCTAAAGGATTGTCTGAGATCACCAATGCCGCCAGCAACTTTAGAAACACTCCCCTGAGCCCGGACTCCGGGGATCGGAACAGAATTGCCTGCAGAGCTCTACCCTCCAGAGGGGTGGGGTGGAGGTGCAGAAGAACTGGGAGCTGGCCTGGCCCCCCACCAACCCAACATCCACAGCGTGGTGGGGCGAAATTCGTGGGCCTTGGCCAATGAACCTCAAGGCCTGGAAGTCAGCTAACCCTCTTCGTTTTCGGCTTGAACGCAGGTCAGCACAGTCTCTGAGGGTCTCTCGGTCAAGGTGGCCGTGTTCGCTCTGCGTTAACTCAGTACGGAGGCCGCCTTTGCCTGGCTTTCACGTCTGAGCCTTCCCTTGTCAGACCTGGCAGGACTGCTCTGGAGGGGAGTTGATTTTTGAACACAAATCCCACTTCTACACACACGTTCCACAGACCCTCCTTGCGTGAGGTGGCAGGGTGTCCACCGCAGCTTGGTGGGTCATAGGGCACTGGGTTGCTGAGCTGTGTGGGTGCAGAGCCTCAGCCTCGGGAGGAGGGCCGCCTGAGGCACAGGGAGGGGCCCCCCGCCTCCCCTGTGTGCTGACAGCTAAGGGGAGGCAGGATGGGTTTTCCAGCAGGAAGGAGAAACTGCAGCCCGGGTCTTCATGTGGGCACCATGTCTGCTCCCTGCCACCCCTGTGAGGTTGTCCACTGCCTCCTGTAGAGCCCAGGGGTGTCGTGCAGGTGTTTCAGGTGATTTGGAGACAGGCATGAAGACCTGGCTGTGAAGGTGTATTCCTTCCTTGCTGTTCGAGAATCTTGGCGTGTGTGGACAGATAGCTGTGGGAGGGGTCCCGCAGGCTACCCTTCGTAGCCATGACCACCTCCTGAGGAAATAAATCTTGCTCAGCAGCAGTGTGGGAGGCCCTGGGGTTGATTGAGAAGCTGTGGGTTTTCTTTAGTCACGTCAGAGAGAATAAAGGAGTCAGCCCTGACTCCCTTTGCTCCTGGTTCTGTGTTTCTCAACATGGGGGAGGGTGCCAGGCTGTGTGGCACATGCCTCCATCAGAATGTGAAGCAGCAGGCCTCCCTGGTGGCGCAAAGAGTTAAGTCTCAACACTATGAAGCTGTCTGCAGCTACTGCCACACGAGTTCGATCCCAGCCCCGGAGCTGACCTCCCAGGCGCAGCAGACCTCTCCTGATTTGCCTGCTGCTCCCCTCAGCAGTGTGTTTCAGTAGATCTGCCTGTTCTGCTCCCCACTGTCTCTGGTGAATCCTTTCACCCCCCTGCACCTCTGGCCTACTCCCCAGTTCTTGTATGCATAAATAAATAAATCTTTAAAAAAGAAAGTAAAGCTGCCTAAATCCACCTCCCCCTTTTAAAGCTCTTTCAAGTTTTTGTTCTTCTGTGGAGTTTTATTTCATTATCTTTTTTTTTTTTTTTTAAGTATATTTATTTATATAAGCACTGGGCACAGTCAGAAGTGCGGGAGGGTGAGAGGATTCACCAGAGCCAGAGCGGGGAGCAGAACAGGCAGACTGTCGAAGTACACTGCTGAGGGGAACAGCGGGCGGCAGGAGAGGTCTGCGCGCCACGTGGGACCCTCGCCCGGCGGTCAGGGATCGAACCGGCGCTGCAGAGGCTGCGGGCAGCTTCGCAACCCAGGGCTCAACCGCTGCGCCTCTGGGGAGGCCCTCATTATTTTTCAAATCACTTTAGTGAGGTGTAACTTACATTTCAGAGTAACTTCTTTCACCACTGGCATGCCTACTGCTGGGAAAAAATGAAATTTAGAAAGTTAAATTTTCCAGCTATTTCTTGATCCATAAGGAATATTTTAAAATCACAAATAGTTTAAAATACATTTCTCATTTCTGTAATATTTAAATGTCAGTAACTTTAAGTTTAAATTTGGGGAAAATGTCTTCAAAACCCCATCATTTCTAATCTCCGTCAGCCTGTAGCGCCTGATTTCCCAGGTGCAAGCAATTTCTATTCTGAGATGAACGCTTGCTTGCCGTCTAACTCGCGTCACAGTGGCCACACCTGGAGTGGTCCATGGGCGAATGGGGGAGCAGGCCAGCACCCGAGAAGGGTGCTGGGAGGCGCAGATCTAGGTGCTGGGGGCCTGGGACCCTCCAGAGCAGCAGCAACCCTAGTGGTCTTGCCCTTGGGTGGGGCGGAGGGGGGTGTCAGTGTGTTCTGTCTTACACTCTGCAGCCAGACTTCCAAGCCGGGCAGGAAGGGGAGAGCAGGTCACAGAACACTCTGTGCCGTCCTGTCCCCAGGGCGTCTGGCAGCCGTGCGTGCTCATGCGAGTTCCTCAAGTCTGGGTTCCTGCCAGTAGGCACAGTTGTGACACCGAGTGCCCTCACTGGATACTCCGGGACCTGGGAGTGAGCTGCAGCAGGCCAGTGGGCACAGCACAGCTCTCCACACACCTTGTTCTCTGCCGCCCCCCAAAACCCATCTTCTGTCAGATTTGGACACTCTTGGTGGCTCTTTGGTCCTTAGATCAGGGAAGGATGGACGTTCCAGGCTGTGGGGCCTTTCCCTCTGTCCGTCTGCATCTCCCCTGGGTTTTGGGGACACGAGCCTTAAATTATCAGACCACCCTTTATACGCTGGGTTCTGTGGCCTCGGCTGCTTCCCCACCGCCCCTCCAAAGTCTGCTCACCTGCTCCTTCTGGGTTTTCCAGGACTGCAGACCACAAGGTTGGGGAACCACTTGGAAGACCGAGTCAACAAGTTCTTGCGGCGACAGAATCATCCTGAGGCCGGGGAGGTCTTTGTCCGCGTGGTGGCCAGCTCAGACAAGACCGTGGAGGTCAAGCCCGGGATGAAGTCACGGTGCGTGTGCTGCGTGTCCTTTGCCACGGCCACCACTCCTGGCGGGCCGGGCCCTGTGTCCAGCCAGGCGGTAGAGCTTGAGCGCTTCATCTAAGACTTTGTGGTGGTTAGCTGCAGCCTGCCCTGCTCTCGGCACCCCAACTTCATCTGGGGGATGCCCCGCCGACTGAAACACTGGCATCGAACAGGGTCATGGCTGCGGTGCTCCCCGGCGCGGGCCTCCCACTTGCGCCCCGAGGGGTGACAGCAGGTCTCCTGTGAAGCTCCTCGTAACCAGGGACTTCATTTCAGGTTCGTGGATTCTGGGGAGATGTCGGAATCGTTCCCGTACCGAACCAAAGCACTCTTCGCTTTTGAGGAAATTGACGGGGTGGACGTGTGCTTCTTCGGGATGCACGTGCAAGAGTACGGCTCGGACTGCCCGCCTCCCAACACCAGGTGGGCCCCGCGTGTGTGTGTGCGCGTGCGGGGCGTGCTGGGGTACAGCCAGCCCCCGCTCTGCTGTCTCACAGAACCTCCGTGCTGTGGAGCTACGTTTAAATGAAACAAGCCGCGCTCCACCCACCGTGCCCTGGTTCATGTCGTTTTCTGCTGAACCAGCGGGAAGTGAAGGGTGTGGGTGACTTTTTCAAGTGTGTGTGTGGTGTTACCACATGAGGTCCCGATCCCAGTTCTCCCGCTGTCCCGTCCTGTCTGGGGCAGGCCAGCTGACAGGCCGGTCCCGGCACCCTTCCTGAAGCACCTGCTGCCGGTTAGACAAAGCGCCCTGCCCAGAGCCCTCTGTGCTGAGTGGAGCGTGGGGGTCAGGGACCCAGAGGTGCTTCCTCGTTTATCCTGATCCTTCCCGGTTCCCCGGGGCGAGTGACGCCCTCGCTGCTTTTGTCCACGGTGACACGGAGTTCCATGGCAGTGGCTGGCGGTGGCAGCGGCGTGTGCAGCCCTCGTGAAGGCCGTCTACACCAAGGGTATCTCCAGAGCTCTTCAGAGCTCCCTGGTGTTGGTGTCTCACACGGGGGGCTCCCGTGCGTTAGAGTAACGCCGCCCTCCTCCCCAGGCGCGTGTACATCTCTTACCTGGACAGCATCCACTTCTTCCGGCCCCGCTGCCTCCGCACAGCCGTGTACCACGAGATCCTGATCGGATACTTAGAATATGTGAAGAAATTGGGGTGAGTTCAGTTCAGATTATTTAGAGCTATTAAAAGCTCTGTTCTCATTTTGCACTATGTATTTCTCTTTTTGAAATGAGCGTAATTTTTAAGTGTTTATGTTCACGTCCTTCACTGGATTTAGGGGTCCCCCGAGCCCCCCGCACCCCATCGTAGCCAGGGGTGCTTGCATTCCCTGCTTCTGCGTCTCTCCTTTTCCCATTCCAGCCTCCTTCTTAACCTTATTGTGCGTCATTTATCTATTGTGAAATCCACCGCTCTTCAGTGACAGTACAGCCGCCCCGCTGCTGCCCTCCCTGAGAGCCCTCGTGCCCGTGCCGCTCGCCCTGCCCGGCAGCCCCTGGCCTGCGTGCTGTCTCCATACACCTGCTTTCCGTGGGCATGTCCTCTGAATGGCGTCCCCACAGGGGTGGTCTCTGGCTTCTGCCTTCTCTTTTTATGTTCTAATCTGTCACAGTCCTCTGCAAATGTGTAAGTTGGAGTTTCTTGATTGGCGCATCCTGAACAGAGTGAATGATGGACTTTAGCGATATAGCCACCTACCTTTCCAAGCACAGGTGTGAGGAGATGGGGAGCTTGGGCTTCTCCCCGAGTACTCTCTGCGCCCACAGGCTCCCTGCAGCCCAGCCTGGCCCAGGGCGTGAACCCCAGGAGGCTGTCTCCCTCCATGTCCATCCTGTGTATGGGCCACAGGGCGCCCTGCCTGTACCCCCACCCCCCACACCAGCTCTTGGAAATGCTGATGGCTCACACATTTTGCATGCGCCACGTTCTGGTCATTCCCCTGTTCTCTCTAGTCCTTGCAGTTCCTTCTCCTCTTGCTTCTGTTTCTGCTCCTCTGCTTTTCTCCTTAAAGGAGGGACATTTCACATAGTGTTTTCATCTGAGCCGTCTTTGTGTGTGTATCCTGCAGGTATGTAACAGGACACATCTGGGCCTGCCCCCCAAGTGAAGGGGATGACTACATCTTCCACTGCCACCCCCCTGACCAGAAAATCCCAAAGCCCAAGCGCCTGCAGGAGTGGTACAAGAAGATGCTGGACAAGGCGTTTGCAGAGCGGATCATCCACGACTACAAGGTGCCCGTCCTGGTGGCGCGGGTGCTCGGCCCTGGGCCTGCCTCTCACGTGTTCAGTGAGGATGAGAAAGCAAAGAAAGGCCCCAGATAAAAACACAGGCGCCTCTCACTGCCATCTGTCAGGGCTTTCGGCCGGCCCCGAGGGCTGCACAGCAGGGCTGCTTCGCCGGGCACGGGCGGCCGTGGTGTTGGAGGGGCCTCTGCTCCCCAGGGCACGCCTGGGCCCTGACATCTCACGGCTGTGCTTTGTTCGCTCTCCAGGACATTTTCAAACAAGCGACTGAGGACAGGCTCACGAGTGCCAAGGAGCTGCCGTATTTCGAAGGCGACTTCTGGCCCAACGTGCTGGAGGAGAGCATCAAGGAGCTGGAGCAGGAGGAGGAGGAGAGGAAGAAGGAAGAGAGCACGGCGGCCAGCGAGACCCCGGAGGTGAGCCGGGCCGGTTGGGGCCCTCGTGACGGGGGCAGCCCGCTGGCTCCCTCCCCTCCCTGTCTGTGTCGCGCCCCCGGCCTGCCCCACGGCTCTTCTTTGGGGTTCAGCCTGCCTACCGAGTCACTGCAGCTGGGCCACCTGAGCAGTGCACTGGGGCACTGCAGACACGCCACCCCTGCCCTCGGGTGTGCTGGTGGGAGGAACAGACATGGGGAACGTCCGCGCAGGTCCTCTCCGAGGCGGCCAGAGGGTGGGGCGGGCAGGCCGAGGCAGGGACGTGTTGGGTCGGTGGGGGGAAGCCAAGGATTGGCAGTGGGCATATCGACACCGAGCTGCCTGTTTTCAATTAAGAGAGAGACACCTAAGAGCCAGGAGAAGCCCTAAGACCGAGCGCTCAGAGAAGCAGGCTCCTGAGGGGCCATGCAGGTCCTGAGTCCCAGGCTTGGGGTGCCCCGGCCTCGCAGAGTGGCTGCGGGCCCAGCGATGCGCAGGGGCCAGTCCTCGGCCCGTAGTGGCGCACGCGGGCACCCACTCATTTCTGATGTCCCTGGGCTGCGCTGCATGCGCGACCCAAGCTCCTCGAGGCAGAGTTGGTGCTGGAACTGGCCTTTGGATTGTGGGCCTTGCTCCATTGGCCGCTCTGACGTGAGAGACCAGACTTGGCTCGTGAGCCCCCAGCGTCCCTCTGGGTGGGCCAGAGGGCCCTGCCCCAGAACCTTACCCCCAAACCTAGGGGGCGAGGTAGGGGGCAGCCTGGCATTTGGACGGCACGGCTCCCACTGTCATGGAAAGGCACTGGGTGAGGGGTGCCCGAGCAGGCCCAGAGTACCCTTCTGCAGGGGCACCCCAGCCCCTCAGGGTGGATGCTGACTTCAGATGGGGGGCAGAAGCAGGGCTCATGTGTCGTCCCACACGAGTCAGCACTTGGTGGGCTTAGCTGCCCTTTCAAGAAGAAAATCAAATGATACTGATTATATTTATTTTTATTATTTTTATTATCACCTGGCTCTCTGGGAGAGTTTAAAAGCTCACTGGAAACTTGAGCAGATGTTGGGGTTCAGTGTACCGCACCCAGTTCCTCCTGCTGGCTCCTCCCATCAGCGTGCTGCAGCCATCACAGCTGCCACCCACCTGGCGCGTCCTCGCCGAGCAGGCCACCCGCTCTGTGCCGCGCGCCCCGTGGTCCTTCTGGTTAGGGCCGGTGGGCCGTCAGGCTCCTCTGGGCTCTGTGAGCCGTGGTCTCGCAGAGTGGAGTGTCCGGGCCCCCGCCGGAATGCAGGCAGAGGGTCCCGGGGACGGAGCGGCTTGGGGTGGCGTCTGCGCCAATACGGGCTTTAGGCCGCCTGCCCCGCTCCACAGGGGCGACGGTTGGCATCACCGCTGCACCAGGGCTGTGGCATGGAGCTTGAGCAGGGCACCGCCTACCCCGTCTGCCCCCATGGGCTTGGCACTGGCATCCTGGGCGTCCTGTCCTCGGGAGGCAGCGTGCTCTCCAGGCGGCCCCGGCTCGTGGGCTTTCTCCATGGGTGTCTCCACATTCCCAGGGGTCCTGCAGCCCAGGCCCTTCCCACCTCACCCGGCATCTCCTCAAGCGCAGCATGTTTATCACCCTGCTCACCTGGTGCTGGGGGCTGCCAGCCGGGTTTGTCTGACAGCTGCGTGCGCTACTGCAGGGCAGCCAGGGCGACAGCAAGAACGCCAAGAAAAAGAACAACAAGAAAACCAACAAGAATAAAAGCAGCATCAGCCGAGCCAACAAGAAGAAGCCCAGCATGCCCAACGTTTCCAACGACCTGTCCCAGAAGCTCTACGCCACCATGGAGAAGCACAAAGAGGTAGCGGGCGGGCAGGCGGTGTGGGCCCAGCGCTGAGCCCCTCCTGGCCCCAGAACCAGGTGGAGGACTTGCAGGGGTGCCGAGAGGAGGGCGACAGCCCCCCACGGCCGTGAGGGCACACGGCAGGCAGCGCTAACTGGCCGCTGGACAGCCCCGCGCCCCAGGGAGCGGGTCCAGACATGCCGGGACTGTGGGTGTCGGGGCAGCCTGTCTGGGGCTCACCGACTCCCCCCCCACACACACCGCAGGTCTTCTTTGTGATCCACCTCCACGCTGGGCCGGTCATCAACACGCTGCCCCCAATCGTCGACCCCGACCCCCTGCTCAGCTGCGACCTCATGGACGGGCGCGACGCCTTCCTCACACTGGCCAGAGACAAACACTGGGAGTTCTCCTCCCTGCGCCGGTCCAAGTGGTCCACCATGTGCATGCTGGTGGAGCTGCACACCCAGGGCCAGGACCGCTTCGTCTACACCTGCAACGAGTGCAAGCACCACGTGGAGACGCGCTGGCACTGCACCGTGTGCGAGGTAGGCCAGCGCCGCCATGTCGGGGCACTCACGGGTGCTCGTGGTGGTGGGGGGGGGGGGTGCTGGTGGGCTGTGCTTTGACCGCCTGGGCCCTCGTCCCGGTGGATCCTGCCACCCTGTGCATGCAACGCACAGGCGGGTCTCCCCAAACAGCACAGACATGGCCCATCTTCCTCGCCACCCTGGTGTCGTCCACGTCGCCCGCTGTTCCCTGCGTCACGTCCCTGGGAGGACTGGCCCTGGTTTGGGCAGCAGGGCAGGGCCTTTCCTCTCAATGCCCCAGCCTCCTGTCCCTCTTCATTCCTGCTGCTGGAATGTTCTGCCCTTTCTACCAGCGGGCCACCAGTCCCATCAGGCCTCCTTGTCCAGATCTTGTGCTCCTGGTCCGGGCTGTGGGTGCAGGGCCCCCGTGGAAGCCCAGCCCAGGGAGAGGCGTTTGGTACCATGGTCTGAGCCCAGGGTCTTGCTCTGGGGGGTGCGGTGGTCTGGGCGACCCAGCACTCTGGGGTGGCACTTGGGAGGAAGCAGGTCAGGCGGTCACCTCCGTCATTCCTGTCCTGTTGTGTTGACGGTGAGCGCCTGCAACGGGACACAGCGGCTCTGGGTGCCGTTCCTGGGGATGGGGGGTAGGGGTCCTCGCCCACCAGCGCACTTGACAGGCCGAAGCCCTGCTCTGGGTCGGGACCTGTGGCTGCACACAGTGGAGACGGTGGGTGGGGAGAGGTCAGAGAGCCCCCAGATGAGGGTCCCAGGGCTGGAGGGGGGCTTGGCCCACACCAGCCTTCCTGGGTGCACGGTCTTGCTGGAGCCCATGCTGACGCAGCCACGTCCCCCGCTCTCTGCAGGACTACGACCTTTGCATCAACTGCTACAACACGAAGAGCCACACCCACAAGATGGTGAAGTGGGGGCTGGGCCTGGACGACGAGGGCAGCAGCCAGGGCGAGCCGCAGTCCAAGAGCCCCCAGGAGTCCCGGCGCCTGAGCATCCAGCGCTGCATCCAATCCCTGGTGCACGCCTGCCAGTGCCGCAACGCCAACTGTTCGCTGCCGTCCTGCCAGAAGATGAAGCGGGTGGTGCAGCACACCAAGGGCTGCAAGCGCAAGACCAACGGCGGCTGCCCGGTCTGCAAGCAGCTCATCGCCCTCTGCTGCTACCACGCCAAACACTGCCAAGAAAACAAATGCCCCGTGCCCTTCTGCCTCAACATCAAACACAAACTCCGCCAGCAGCAGATCCAGCACCGCCTGCAGCAGGCCCAGCTTATGCGCCGGCGGATGGCCACCATGAACACCCGCAACGTGCCTCAGCAGAGTCTGCCTTCCCCTACCTCAGCTCCGCCCGGAACCCCCACGCAGCAGCCCAGCACGCCCCAGACACCACAGCCCCCCACCCAGCCCCAGCCCTCGCCTGTGAGCATGTCACCAGCCGGCTTCCCCAGCGTGGCCCGGACTCAGCCCCCCACCACGGTGTCAGCCGGGAAGCCCACCAGCCAGGTGCCGGCCCCGCCACCCCCCGCCCAGCCTCCACCCGCGGCCGTGGAGGCAGCCCGGCAGATCGAGCGCGAGGCCCAGCAGCAGCAGCACCTGTACCGGGTGAACATCAACAACGGCATGCCCCCCGGGCGCACGGGCCTGGTGGCCTCGGTGAGCCAGATGGCCCCGTGGGCCTGAATGTGCCCCGGCCCAACCAGGTCAGCGGGCCGGTCATGCCCAACCTGCCACCTGGGCAGTGGCAGCAGGCGCCCCTGCCCCAGCAGCCGCCCATGCCAGGTCTGCCCAGGCCCGTCATGGCCATGCAGGCCCAGCCCGCCGTGACTGGGCCGCGCATGCCCAGTGTGCAGCCACCCCGGAGCATTTCTCCTGGCGCCCTGCAGGACCTGCTGCGGACCCTGAAGTCACCCAGCTCCCCGCAGCAGCAGCAGCAGGTGCTCAACATCCTCAAGTCCAACCCCCAGCTGATGGCCGCTTTCATCAAGCAGCGCACAGCCAAGTACGTGGCCAGTCAGCCTGGCCTGCAGCCCCAGCCCGGCCTGCAGCCCCAGCCTAGCCTGCACCAGCAGCCCGGCCTCCAGAACCTGAATGCCATGCAAGCCAGCGGGCCTCGGCCTGGCGTGCCTCAGCAGCAGGCCATGGGGGGCCTGAACCCCCAGGGCCAGGCCCTGAGCATCATGAACCCCGGGCACAACCCCAGCATGGCGAGCATGAACCCGCAGTACAGAGAGATGCTGCGCAGGCAGCTGATCCAGCAGCAGCAGCAGCAGCAGCAACAGCAGCAGCAGCAGCAGCAGCAGCAGCAGCAGCAGGGCAGCGCGGGCATGGCTGGGGGCATGGCGGGACACGGCCAGTTCCAGCAGCCTCAAGGACCCGGAGGCTACCCCCCTGCCATGCCCCAGCAGCGGATGCAGCAGCACCTCCCCCTTCAGGGCAGCTCCATGGGCCAGATGGCGGCTCAGATGGGCCAGCTCGGCCAGATGGGCCAGCCCGGGCTGGGCGCAGACAGCACCCCCAACATCCAGCAGGCCCTGCAGCAGCGGATTCTGCAGCAGCAGCAGATGAAGCAGCAGATCGGGTCGCCAGGCCAGCCGAACCCCATGAGCCCCCAGCAGCACATGCTCTCAGGACAGCCACAGGCCTCGCACCTTCCCGGCCAGCAGATGGCCACGTCCCTTAGTAGCCAGGTGCGGTCTCCGGCCCCTGTGCAGTCTCCGCGGCCCCAGTCCCAGCCTCCACATTCCAGCCCGTCGCCACGGATACAGCCCCAGCCTTCTCCACACCATGTCTCGCCCCAGACTGGCTCCCCCCACCCAGGACTCGCAGTCACCATGGCCAGCTCCATAGATCAGGGACACTTGGGGAACCCCGAACAGAGTGCAATGCTCCCACAGCTCAACCCCCCCAACAGGAGTGCGCTGTCCAGTGAGCTGTCCCTGGTCGGCGACACCACAGGAGACACCCTAGAAAAGTTTGTGGAGGGCTTGTAGCGGTGCGAGCGCGTCACTGTCCCTTTCATGTTTTGGACTTTTTGTACTGAAATCCAAGCATCCGGGCTCTTTTAGTCCCGGGTGGACTGCTACTTCCAGGCATGGAAGGGGTCGATTGCTGTTTAAAGAAACAATACAAAGAATATATTTTTTTGTTAAAAACCAGTTGATTTAAATATCTGGTCGGTCTTTCTTTCTGTTTTTTTTTTGTTCTTGTCTTTGTTTTGGGGGGAGGGGGGTTTGTTTGGATTCTTTTTGTCGTCATTGCTGGTGACTCATGCCTTTTTTAATGGGAAAAACAAGTTCATTATATTCATATTTTTTATTTGTATTTTCAAGACTTTAAACATTTATGTTTAAAAGCAAGAAGAAAACAATAATATTCAGAAACTGATTCCTGAAATAATGCAAGCTTATAATGTGTCCCGATAACTTTCTGATGTTGCGGGAAGATTTTTTCTATCGTGAACTCTGTGGGCGTCTCCAAGTATTACCCCGGACGGTAGGAACCGCCCCCCGCGCGCACCCACGCACCTCTGTCTATACATACCGGCTCAAGCCAAACTCTGTCTTGCAGATGTAGAAATTGTTGCTTTGTTTCTCCGATAAACCTGGTTCTAGACAAAAAATAGGGATGATCACTCTCTTAGACCATGCTAATGTTAATAGAGGAGAAGCGTTCTTTTCTTTCTGTGTGAAACTTGAAATGAGGAAGAGCAATTCTAGTGTAAATCATGCAAGCGCTATAATTACTATAAATAAGGAAAGTCAAGATTCAATCACTGTATAGAATGGTAAAGCACCAACTCATTTCTTATATCATATTGTTAAATAAACTGTGTGCAACAGACAACAAAGGGTGGTCCTTCTTGAACTCATGTACATGATATTAACGCTTCGTGTTGAGGGGTTTTGTTCTGAAAATGCTGTTTTCAACATTGTATTTGGGCTCTGCATGTTTTTCTCGTTGTATATAACGTACCGCTTAAAATTGATATAAATTACTGAAGTTTTTAACATGTATTCTGTTCTTTAAGATCCCTGTAAGAATGTTCAAGGTTTTTATTTATTTATATGTATTTTTGGAGTCTCTTCTTTGTCAGGCACGCCTGGTGGGCTGCTCGCGAGGCGCTGTGGCCGCCTGTTCCCGGCAGCTGGGCGGGCCCGGCGGCGGCGGTGGCGGTGCGGGGATGGCGATGGCGGTGCTCGCGCCGGACTCTCGGGCCCGGGCCCCAGTCAGAGACCAGCAGGCCCGCAACGGCACCAGTGCTCCCGGGCGAGGAGTGGGGGTGCCTCCTGCCGGAGTACCCGCACCAGTCTCAGAGTCCCTGCGGGGGCGCGCCCGTGGAGATGGCCTCCCCAACCCCCCAGCTCTGTGGGGGCTGAGGCCGCCGCTGTGTCCCGGGGAGCTGGGCAGGAGCTGGCCTGGAAGCTGCCGGGGGGAGCCTGCCGTGGCAGAAGAGGGGCGCTCGTGCCACACTCCAGGCTCCCCTGCCGAGCGGGTGGCAGCGGGCTCCCGACTGCCTGAGGACGCTTGCGGGAGGCTGCCGGAGGGGCCCAGCCGGGCGAGGCCTGGCTGGGCGTGGTGTGAATCTAGACGTGATGGCCCCAAGGTGCCCTTCACCTTTTTCCGGGTACTTTCAGAATAGCTGATTTGGTGATCTAAATTTAATTAACAGGTGAATTAAGCCAGGTAAGAAGGCAACGGTGTCTGGCACCACCAGCCAGTCCCCCACCCAAAAGGGAAACAGCCGCGTCCCTCCCGTCACCACCAGGCCGTCCCCACCCTCTCCCTGGCCTTCCCCGGAGTCGGGGGGAGGGCTCCGTGCCGGGGGTGGGGCGCTGGCCCTCCTGGGCTGGGAGCAGCAGCGCTCAGCCTGCCCCGCAGAGGCCGGCAGAGGCGCAGCCCGGACGCGGTCACGGCCGCGTGTCCTCCTCTTGGGATCTGAACCTCGCGCCCCCCGGATGCCCCAGGACAGGGCTGAGGGCGCCCCCGGACGCCAGCCCCGCGGAAGCAGCGGCCCCCGTGCTGTGTCGGGCCGTGTGCTTGGAGGAGGAGGACAGGCCTGTGTGTGTGAGGAGTCGGCATGGGCCGCGTGCGTGCTGCCGCTGCTCGGCCGCTGGGCCCCGAGGGGGCTCCGGAGGGCTGATGCCCTGAGCCGAGCTCCGCAGCCCTCAGCGTGGCGGCTGCCGGTCTTGTGCGCGCTTTTGAGACTCTACCGTGTGGACGCGGGAGTGGAACGCGGAGGGGCGGGTTCTGCTCTTAAGGTGTCGGGCTTTCAAAGACAGGACTTGCTTCTGGTGACTGGAGTGGAGGCAGGTGTCCTCCGAGCCAGGATACGCTGTGGCTGTGGGAGCGCAAAGTCCCGGTGAAGGACGGGTGCCGGCGCTGGCCAGGGCGGGGGGCGCGCTGTGGCTGCGCCTCCTCACGAGGCCCGCAGAGGTGCCGAGCACACGGGGTGGGGGCCCTAGCGCCACGCTGCCCGGCGCTCTCCGCGTGCAAAGTCAAGAGCAGGGAAACGGGTTGAAAGTGAATTGAAGTGAAAGTCACCCCAGGTCAACCAGGGCCACGCCACGTGGGCGAGAGGCCAGCGTGCTCGCGCCTCTCCGGAGAGGACTGGCCTCGGCCCGCTGACCACTTGCTGCAGAGGCGCCAGAGCACCCCCACCCGGGTGGGGTGTGGGTCTGTGTAAGGGGTCAGGAAGAGGCTTCCATGGGGTCCAGGGGCCTGAGGTGCAACCTTGAGCAGCTCTTACCTCCTTTCTGGAGAGAAGCTGCTGGCAGCAGGTCCAGTGCGGATCCACTGCCTGCCGGCCCCCCCTCCTGCCTTGCCGCAGGGGACCCACAGGGCCGCGCTCCCACCCGGGGAGCCCTCCTTACTCCACAGGCTCACCTGGTGCCCGCGCGCCAGGGCTCCACGGGGGTGAGGACGGGTGAGGGTGTCCAGGTCCTCCTCGAGGGCCGCATGAGACCCGGCCTGCCTGTGTAGTGCCCGTGCTTACCCCCGGCCTGGGAGCTGAAGGAATGTGGGCAGTGTGGGTCAGCCCTGACCCTCCCCCCCGCGCCTGGACGGGGCCTGGACGGAAATGGAAGCCTCTTGCAAATTCTAAGAATTTCATCTCCGGAGGCCTGTCGTGGAGGCCATGGCATCAGTGGCGTTCAGATGGCAGGCAGGTCCTCAAGGGAGGTGGTGATGCTGAGGGAATGTTCCAGGCCAGGGTGAGGACCCTGTCCCCACAGGTCCTTCAGGAAAATGTCCAGAGGAAGTTCTTGAAAGTGACAGTGAGGGCAGCAACCAGAAGCCTCGTATGTTGGCCCCACGCAGGGCTCCATGTCTGGGAGCTGGCTTGTGGACCGCAAAGGAGGTTGGGCTGTTTCCTGTGCTAGGCACTGCAGGCAGCCTCCGGGGGCAGACACATGCCAGGGCACTGCCCCCCAGGAGGCTGCAGAAGGGGGCTGGCTGTATCTGGGGGCTGGAATCCTGTCACCTGTGAAGCCCAGACACTCAGGCGGGCACACAGTGACCCTCCAACCTTCCAGGGAGGCCAGTTCTTTGTGCCCAGCCTGCTAGACACTGAGTTCTGGGCTTAGATTTCCCAGGTGAGGAAGAGTGGTCCCCATGGGAAGAGGCAGTGAGCCCTGGCAATGGCCTAAGATGGGAGGGGCACTGAGATGAGCCCCAGGTGGCTTCCTGCAGGCGTTGAGTATAGCTCAGCAGCCTGCGCCGAGTGGCTCCTGAGCTCTGAGGAAAACCACCAGAGACGAACAAGTGGAGGAAGGCAGCAGAAGGTGCTGGGGCTTGAAACCAGCCTCGATGCTGGACACCAGCAGGGCCTGTGGTCAGGGCTGTGCCCCAGGACTCGGGAAGCACATGCTCTCCCCCGACCCCTCAGGCGTTCCAGGACAGCACCTCTCCAGCCGGGACGTGCACCTGGCTCTTGGGACACTGCTGACACTCTGGGTCTGTAGGCCTGGCCTGCACTCTGTGCTAAAGCTACAGGGCACTGAGAACAAGGCCTCTGGGCTTTGGCACCATCTTAGCCTTAATGTTTGTGATCAAAACTGGAGTGTCAGGAGCGGGGAGGGATTGGGCAAGCCTGCAGCATTCTGGAACCTTCTGTTCCCTTTGGCCCTCATGGGTCTCCAGCCTTCCTCAAAACCCTGGCAGCGCAGCCCTGCCTTCCCAAGGCCAGTGTTGCTGGAGGCCCCGGGGGGATACGTCACAGTTATGTGGGCTTAGGTCTGGCTTCCCCATCTTATGCTGGACAGGGAGGCTGGGAGCCCCTGAGGCTGCCCACCCTGCAGGAGCACGGACAGTGGCATGAAGGAGGGTCCCCATGAGGAGGGAGGCTCACTGAGGGCCGCCTGGTGAGTGGGTGGCCAGGGAGGCCCTAGGCAGGGTCTAGACTCACTGCCGGGGCTGCAGGAAATGAAGAGGGAGAAAGGTCAAGCACCCGACAGGGAAGGGTCTGTTAACTCAACCTGTGACTCCCGTGTCCTCGACGGTGCAGTTAAAAGGGACCGCAGAGAAAGAATGAACTGTATGGAGAACAAGCCTCGGAGTCGTGCAGTAAAATCAGAAATGTTCTAGTGAGCTCCACCTGGCCCTGCTAGGTTGGCTGCACCAGCCTCTAGAAAGGGCCACAGGCCTTGCTTCCGGCTGACCCCCAGCGCTGGCAGGTGGGGGTCGGGGCCTGGGTTCCTATAGGCCCCTGCTGCCAGGAAGGGTCTGTGCGGTTGCTGGGGGGTGACTTTCTTCAAACATACTGTTATCATTGTCAAGCGGTCAGCAAAATACAAATTTCTGAGTTCCATCTGCAAAGTCTGTGAGAAAAGCACCGTGAATTGTGCAGCTGCCTCCAGGCCTTCAGTCCATCCGTGGACGCCTCGCTGTGTGGGAGACCAGGGAGGGTGCCTGCCTCTGAAGCTGTGCCGCTCTTCTGCCAGGCAGGGTCTGGGCAGGAGTGCTCCCGAGGCCCCCCAACACTCAGGCCTCCTGGAATAACCTTCAGACAACACCCAGCATTTCTCTCCACACCCCCAATTTTTGGCTCTCAAAAATAGGCTGCCTTGTGAGAGGGTCCATGAAATTGAGGAAAAATCCCATTATCGTGGGATCTTTCTAGGCCAAGAAGCATCCTGAGCATAAGCCGCTCCATCCTGGGGAGCTCAGGTGTTGCTCGCCGAGGGGAGCAGCTCACCCAGAATTTCTTTCTTCAACAAAGAAATGAAAAGGAGGCGTTTGGATTTGGTGTTTCTTTGCAGTGGGCATTTTTTTTTCAATTGTGGAAAATGTATATAAACATTAACTTCAGCATCTCAATGTTAAGTGGCCACTTCTGTGGCGTCAAGTCTGTTTATACTGTTGTGTGGTTGCTACCACCCTCCCTCCCCCAAGCTCTTTCTATCTTGCAAAATGACCTCATGAAACACCCCCCCGCATTCCTCCTCCCAACAGTATGCTGCTACTCACCACCCCACTTTGTCTCCACGAATTTGACTACCTCATGTGATCATGCTCTGTTTGTCTTTTCGTGACTGTTTCCCTCATCAGGTCTTCAAGGGACATCCGTGTTGCAGCAGGTGTCAGGACTTCGTAAGTCTGAACAACACGCCACTGCCTGGGTGGCACTCTCCCATGCCGCCATCTCGCCCCTCATCTGTTGATGGGCACTTGGGTGGCCTCTGGTTTCTGGTGGTGGTGAGTGACCCAGCAGGTGTATATCACGGCCGTCAGCTCCCCCTGGGGAGGCCAGTGCCTTCTGGAAGAGGAATGGGCAGCCTCGTGGTGGCCAGGGTGATGATGACCAGGAGACCAGGAGTGAGTCAGGCAGCGCACCCCCCTTCCTCCACTTTCCCCAGGTAACCCCGTTAGTCTCCATCAATGCAGTTCAAGTACATCTCAACTCATCACTTTTCTTCCATGTTCCTGGCCTGCATAAGGCTACATAGGGGCTGGAATCTGTGCATGGCCCCCGAGAGACACAGAGTGGACCCCTGGGCCAGCAGAGGACCAGTGTCACAAGAGCAGACAAAGGTATGTCTGAAGGCCACAGACCAAGAGAGGACAGAGGCCCTGGCAGTGTCTGGAACCTGACGTTTGCCTCCACGGGGACGGCTTCTACCCGTCTTGGCAGAGCCCACCCCCCACTTAACTGCAGCCCAGGTGTCCTATTTTCCTCTGCTAAATGCCACTTTCCCTTCCTGAAATAAAAGGCTCCCAAGCTAGATCTGTTGCCCAGCAGACCAGTGTGTCAGCTCTTTACATGACTTCCTGAGTGAATAAGAATGAAATTCAAGGCTGAGACCCCTCAATTCTCCCAGAATAGCTGCATCGAGTGCTGGGAAGGCTGATGCCCAGGACCTGGAGGGGAGAGGGAAAGGCAGGAGTCAAGCAGGGTCTGGAAACGGAGGCAGCCAGGGTTTGAAATTATTGATTGCACCGCTGGTGGACCTGATGGGGGGTGGGAGGAGCTGCCGCAGACTGGGAGAGGGGGCAGTGGGAGGAGGCTGCTGGCGTCTTCACTGTTAGACTCTTGCTCTTCCATCAAATTCACCCACCGTTTTCACGTTTCCCTTCTCAGTTACTTAAGCCGGGAAATTGGGGGTCACCCTCTACACCTGCTACCTGGAAGCATTCCCTGACACCCCAGCTATGCCCGAGCCCACGGGGGACACTCTCCTTATGCAGTTGTTGTTACAACCTCGAATAACGCCGTGTTGTACAACTGTTTGATCGTGGCCGCGGGTCTCCAGAGGCCTGGGGAGCGGTGGGACCCCACGCCAGGCAGTGCCGGGGACTCTGCACTGGGCGTGGCATCGGGGGTACAGACCCCTCGGGGAGAAAGGGCGTGGCCTCCAGCAGGGCCGAGACTTGGGGTGAACGAGTAGTTCTGCTGGTGGGGCCCGGGGCCCGCGTTCACGTTTTGGTGTAGAAGAGTCCAGCCCGGCGTCCCTTGAGCTCTGGCCGGCCTCGGTCATCAGAGTCGGCCTTCCCGGGCCCGCAGGGGCGGCGGGGCGGACAGGGCCCCCCCGGCACCCCTCGTCTCGCCCGGCTCGCTGGGGCCGAAGTCTGCTCCCCGACTGGGACGCTCGAAGCTAGGCCCCGCCGGCGAGCGTGAGCCCGGGCCCGGCAGCCAACCTCCAGCGCCCGCTGCGCGGCCCGTCGCCCTTGACAACGCGACACAAGGTCACGGAGCTCCCCCCGCCCAACGGTCCCCGCGCGCGCCGGTCGCGCCCCGGAGGCCCCGCCCACCTGCCGGCGCCGGCAGCGGGTCGGACAGCCCCGCGCGCGCCGTGACGTCAGCGCGCCGCGCCCGAGGAAGGCCCCCGGGCCGGCCCCGCCCCCGCGCCTCACGCCTGCGCCCCGCGCGGGAGGAGAGACATGGCGCGCGAGCTGCGGGCGCTGCTGCACTGGGGCCGCCGCCTCCGGCTTCCGCCGCGGGCGCCGGCGCTGGCAGCCGCCCCGGCAGGTGAGGGCGGCCGGACTGCGCGCGGGGGGCCCGAGCCCGTTCCCTCCGCGGCGGGGGCGGCGGGCGGGAACGCGGAGCGCCCTGCGCGCCTGGGGCCACCTGGTCAGCCCCGCGCTGGCCGCCCGGCCCGGCCCCTCGCTCGGGCTCCGGAGGCGGCGCCGCGAGCGGGCGGAGGCCGCGGGCGCGCTGGGAACGCGCTCCGGACGCTGGTGCCGGCGGCGCTCCTCCCGCCGAGGGCTGCACGCGCGGCGGGAGCCGCTCGCCTGGGCTCGACCCGGACCCGAGCGCGCCCGCGGCCCGCGGACTCCGGCCGGCCGCCCGCCGTGGCCCCGGGGCCTGGAAGGAGCGGTCGACGCGCAAACAAGCGCCGATGAGAAAGGAGAGGCCGCGACCCGCCCTCGCAGGGCCCGCGGGTGCGGCCTGCGGGTGTCGCCTCCCGCGGGGGGGCCGCACCGAATAACGGGATTTTTGTTGTCTCTGCGTGGCCCGCGCGACTCCTCAGGCCCCGGCGCGCGGGTCCGCGCTTCCCGCCGGCCGCAGAGTGCCCTGTGCGAGGGGCGCAGCGTCGGCTTAGTAATTAGGTGACGAAGATGATTTCCGGATTTTTTTGTCGTTATCAGGCTCTGCCGTTGGCCGTGCGCGGCTTTTCTTGAGAGTTGATGTTTCAGAGCCGTGATTGTTTGGAGTGTTAGCTGCACCGGACGATAAGCTGCCGGGGTGACTCCCGTTGGGCTGGGACCCTGCCCCCCTCCCGCCCTCTCCAGCGCTGGGTGGTGCATATTTTCCAAGTGGATGGTTTTGCACTTTAATTTACATCTGTAGAGATCCTGGTGAGAGTGAGGCTGTTTTCATCTGTCCCGTGGCTGTTTGTGGATGTGCGGACTTACTCTCCGTGTCTTGTACGCTTTGTTTTTATTACCTGGGTTTTGAAATGAACGAGGATTGAACAACATGCATTAGGATAAGACAAGTAGGTTTATTACTGTGGCTTGCAGCTGACATCTGTTTTTTTTCTGGATTTTTATTTCCCGTCTAACCAGAACATACCATCTGTTAGTTTTGCAGAAAATCTGGGTTGTCTAAGCCCCGGGTACTGTCAAAATATTTATACTTTGTATAAAGGTTTGACGGGGGCATTGCATTCCAGGTCAAAATAATTTTCCTTCAGAAAGTGATGATGTTGCTCCGTTGTCTCAGCCCCCTGTTACAGGTGCGCCGTCACATCAGTTTCATTGTTAGTCATTTTTTCCCTCTTCTAATGGTTATTTTTTCTCTCCTTGTTCTTATTCTAAGATGTTTCTACATTAATGCTTTAATTCATTCTCTGTACCCCTTCGCGTCACTTCCATTGTGAAGATATGTCCATTTTCAGCCCAGGGACTTTTTTTGTGCCATTTTCTCTCTCTTCCTCAATAACCTCCTTTTCCCTGCAGCTTCTCTTACAGTGGTTCGAGCATGCTGACTATGAGAGCCTTCTCTGTGGCAGATGCCTCTGTCACCTGTGAGGCTAATGTAATGGTGAAGTTGTTTGTATGGATTGAATGAGGGGTGGATACGATCAGGAGGATATGTGTCTTCTGCAGTGGGGGTGGGGTGGGATGTGATTGTAAAAGTCACCTATACAGAAAATTCAGAATTCTGTGTCTCTTTCTCTTTTCCTGGGAAAGCATTGCTGAGTGTTAGCATGTGCTTGCCTTCACACCTAGGACCATGACCTCGGGTCACCATCATCCCAGTCCTCCTGCCCATGGGGTGTCTCAGAGTGTAGGGTTGAGTCTGTCTGTGGACGTTATTGTTCATTTATTCTCATTACTTCATTTAGTCAACAACTACTGTGAGTGCCCTCTGCAACTTCAGACCTGATGTGACCCTGCCACTGGGTCAGAGGTCAGTGGGAGCATGTGACTGCCTGATGGGAGGCCTCTGGCGTGTCCAGTGGGCAAAATATGTGGTGGACAGCTTATGTAAGTTCCACAGAAGAGAGAGGATTGGGCCAAGTCTTCAGGTGTGGTGTAGGGGGAATGCCTCTGGATAATTTGGTGTGACAAGAATCTAGGGGTATGTAGAATAAGGGTGAGTGGGCCCAAAAATTATGTCCTTTCTTCTCTCTTAGATAAGAGCTTATGGGTGGGGACCACGTCTTTCTGAAATCAGGACGTCAAGTGCCTGGCCTGGCCCATGTTCGGAGAACTCAATTGCGTGTCATTGTGTGATCTGGAACATGTGAGTTGACGATAAAAAAATGTAAACTGCCCTCAGACCTCTTCACCGGAGCTCTAGCAGGTATCAGAGTAACTGCTTCACACGTGGGCGGATGAAAAGGCTGCCTCCCAGAGAAAACCAGACCCAGAAAATCAACACCAGACTCAGTCCCCAGAAGCACATGTGATGTTGAGGCGACTAGGGCAGCGGGCTGAAAGCCCACAGGGCAAAGAAGCCCCTGACCGTGGCGCTCTGAGCCTGCAGGCCTGACAGTCCATGTTCTCGCTCACTTTCATAGATGTCTTGCCAGAAGAGGCCAGGACAGACTGCTGTGGTTGAGTTGCTGTCTACTCATTTTGTAAACCAGAGGCTTTGCTGGAATTTTCTGTCTTGAAAGGAGAGTTGCAGGTGTGGGAGTCCAGGCACAGAAAGGTCAGAAGAGGGGGTTGCTCTGTTGTGGGGCTTAGCACTGCAGCTTGTATCTTTCAAGGGGAAGCACACTTAGTAGAGGAGGAAGCGGGGCCTCCCGCTTAGTACTGGGGTCCATTTGATTTAGTTTGTTGCCCACCTTTTCACTTTATTTGGTGCTCATGGTGTTAATTTCTGCCCTGAGGTCTCACACTGCAGCCTTCACAGAAATTCAGATACCTTTCTGGTTATTCCCGGCTGTTTTTCAGGGTGGAGGGGAGCACTTGCAGTCTGACTGTGTTGTAACGTGGCCATGTAGGTCTCCATCCTGACCGTAGGCCCGGAACTATAGAACACCTTGGGCAGCACCAGTGTAGCACAGAGGCAAAGGACAGACTTGTGCCTGACAACGAGGTTGCTCCCAGGGGGCCTTGGTAGTGGGACGCTTGCTTGGGCCAGGGGGGCCAATTAATCTGAACTGTCTGCAGAAAGTCAACCCAGGCGTCCTGTGTAGCATAGGCCTCGATACCAGCTGAATAGTTAGTTGGTTGAACAAAAGAAAAATCCCCAAGTTTATGTTCTCTCCTGGGCAGAGGAGAGGGTCCCGCTTGAAGGGAGAGGGAGGAAAGTGGGTTGATGAGAAAACAGTGTAGAAAAGTAAATGTTTTCACCCCCAAATGTTAGCCTCTGTGACTCCACGAAGGCGACCTACTGACTTGAGGCCGGCCCTGGGATTTGCTCTCTCCATCACTGAAACTATTCAGTTCATGCTCAAGTGAAATACTTCAGCTTGGAAGCCAGGGAATATTCTCAGATTGTCCTCAGTGCAGCCACCTAGAGCCTGAAACGCTGTCCTGCTGGGTCATGATGGGGAAACTGGCCTTTTACCAGGAGACTGCTGTTTGCTTGGTCCATAGAAATTCTGTACATGTAGTAAGAGAGATGTCAGCTGTGTGTTTCTGGAGTGCTTGGTTATTTCTGCTAAAATCACAAAGAATCACCTTAAAAGTGAAGCTTGCAGAGCCCGTGGCCATACCGGCTTGTCTTTGCTTCCTGCCTGCTAACCAGGTGGAGACCTGTAGAGCAGGACATTAATGTAGGTGTAGCTGCTTTTGGAAGCGAATGACCCAGTTACCTAGCAACCTCATACAGTCAAGAAGTGTGATTAAATATTTTTTAAAAGTTTGATACAGCCGAAATGAACGCCATATTAAAAAAGAGCAGGAGACCAGTAGCGGTGCTGCTAAGAATAAGATAAAAGGGCCCAAACCCTCCTGCTGGAACTGGAAGTGTCAGGCGTTGCGGGAGAAGCAGGGTGGGCTTGCAGTCCACACGCGCTAGTGATTCTGGCACTTTGCAGGGAATGGAGCACTAGGGCGTTTTCCATGAAGTTAAACCTTTCATTTTAGCCAGAGAGGCTCTTGTGAAAGACTGGCTCACTCGATGGGGCACAGCTGGGTCTTAATGTGCCTATCGATGGGCGGTCTGCAGGGCCACTACCGGGTCCACACGCAAACTGCATTTGAGTGTTTCTGGGTTTCAGCTTTCCTGCTCTGCCTTGAGCCTACCAGGCTTTGTGCCCATCTCTTTGTTTGCAAGTTCAAAGTGACCCAGGGGAACTGAAGCTTGCACCCCCGCCCCTTCATTTTTTGTGTGTGTGAAATATATGGCGTCTGAGGAGGAATGCATATTATGTGTGCCATTTTAAAAAGAAACAACATGCATATCCATTATTCAGCTTAAGAAATAGAAATCGGCAGGTCTCCTGCCCTCCTGTGTCTGTGCAGGCGTCTCTTTCTTAGACCTACCACTTCCAAAGGCGGCTCCCCTGCCCGCTTGTGACCGTGCTTGTCCTTCTCTTCACCACCCTTCTCCCTTTGCAGAGCAGCAGGGGCAACTCTCCTCCCGAGCCTGCCCGTCTGGGACTATGCAGGCCTCTCTCTTAAGCAAACCTCTGTCCCGTTCAGGGGCAGCTCTTTCTGCCCTCTTGTGTGTGCAAGTGTCCTTTATTTGCCTTTCCCTTTTTGCAATAAGCTTGCCCTTTTGGATATAAAAAAGAAATAAAAATTACCAGGAGTCCAACAAAGACGGCAGAAGAGTGGGGATATCAGACTCACCTCCACGGCCCAGTGACAGGCAGTGAAGACAGCAGTCCTGGAGGACGCGTGATGACAGTTTGCAGCACAGGGCGGCCCAGCCCAGGGGTGGGGAGCTGCAGCTTCGCTGGTGCGGAGTGTTACCATGCAGTGAGAGCCAAGAGCCTCTGTTGCTGCCTAAGAGCTCAGCCCACACCAGGGACCTTGGGGGTTTCACTGGTGGGGGTGGGCACGGTCTCCTGCAGGACAGGGGTCTGCCTCTGGGGTGCTAGAGAAGCAGGGAACTCCAGGACA